TCTCAAACTTTTAGCGCCAGTATGTCCTCAGTGACTTCAATAACGCTTACAACAATTCGATTTTCAGGGAACACGATTGAAGATGTCGGGTTTCGATTGGATTATGAAAAAGATTAAAGCCGCATTCCAATGACATAAATGCTGAAGTATTGTTTGCACAATTACAGGAAATTTAACTAGAGGCTCTCAAGAGCCTGTGTCGCTCACCTGTATCTACTGTGGTTTTGGAAATAATGTAAAATAATGTTAATAGTATTAGATACCATAATAATGATTGAGACCAAGTTTGGGTTAATTTGGCCCGCTAGTTAAATTAAAAGCAGGTCATCCCATTGTAGTCTTACAATAGTTACTGAAGACCCCTTATCATTATTTAAATTAGTTTTCAAGTTATGACCATTTGTAATTATTTTTTACAATTTTCCCATAGACCTTTATAGTAAACCCTTATGTTTTATGTTTAGCCATGGCGGCCATGTTGGTTGGATGGCAGGGTCATCGGATACATTTTTCAATCAAGATACCCTATTGAAAATTGTGCCTAAGTTTAATTATATTTAGCCAAGTAGATCAAGTGGAGAAGATTAAAAAAAATGAAGAAAAATTGTTAGAAATTGACTATAAGGGCAATAACTCCTTAAGGGGTTAATTGTCAATTTTAGTCATATCGACCTATTTGTAGATCGTACTTTGCTGAACATTGTTGCTGTTTACAGTTTATCTCTATCTATAATCATATTAAAGATAATAACCAAAAACTTCAAAATTTCCTTAAAACTAACAATTCAGGGACAGCAACCCAAAAACGGGTTGTCTGATGCATCTGAAAATTAAAAGGCAGATAGATCCTGACCTGATTAACATTTTTACTTCAATTTAGTCAGATTTGATCTAAATGCTTTAGTTTCAGAGATATAAGCCAAAAACTGCATTTTATCCATATGTTCCATTTTTAGCCATGGCGGCCATTTTGGTTAATGAAATATTTCATGCATATTTAGAGCGAACATAAACAAATTGCAATTAAGAAGTTTTGTACAGTTAAAGTTTACTAAGTGAATTCTTTTGTACCAATAAAATCTGGTGATGTCTAACTACATGCATATTGATTATGTATGAGGATGTTGCACGGATTTTTTTCTCAGCTCTTCAAAATATAAATGTACTGGTATTAAAAATTTTTGTTGCGAGCACCACTAAAGAGACACACAAGATGAATATATTTTCATGTACATTGTATCAATGGCATCCCTGATACCAACCTTATAATTCATAATCGTTAATTACCTGAAGGTATCATTAAAATACGTTAAAACTGTATGCGTAAATTCCAAGATGTAAATGTAAGTCATTTTAAAATGTGCATAATCGTTTTAACTGTCACACTACGTTAAATCAGTTGTGAAAGAGGTAATAATCGACTAACAGAAAGTAATGGATTAACTGATTGTTGCTTGTAACAATTATTTAATGCACATCTAAGACAATAAATTGATTGAATGTTGGTTACTTAACGTCCAGTGGCAAATATTTTATGCATATTCAGGACGAAAACATTTAAATAATAAATACATAAGGTAGGCCTCTCTCTTCCTACACGAGGTTTCGGATTTATCATCACCATTCTTACCGTACGTGGCTGCGTAATGTTGCATCCCACACAGCTATTGTGGCAAATATTTAACTGTCGGTTGAAAGAAGACATAATGAACCATATTTCTATTCTCCAGTCACGCTTGGAGGTAGGACAATAGATGAAACAATAAATTAGTGAGAGAATACGTCAATAGAAGAACAATAACCAAATTTGTTATTAAACAAAATTTTATATCTAATTTTGGTGGACATGCTATTGTTACTTGAAGGCCTAAAATTAACTTAATTGGCATTTAAAAATATGGACAAGATTGAGCGTTCATAAAAGGAAATGTTTAGGCATTATATGGACACGTTGGATGAATGGACTCGTTAGGGCGTTCTTAAAAAAAGACACGTTTTGGCACCCGTTAGCACTTAGACATGTTTTGCAGTTCAGTGACGTCATATGGATACGTTTGGGGGAATCGGACATATTTTGGGGGATGGACACGTTTCTGAGTGTTACATATATAGTAATGAACATTAAGCAGCATCAATAAAAAAAGTGACCAGAAATAACTTTAAAATTATTTAAAAATGCTAAGTTCGTGAGTCAGCGATCAATAACTGTAGCAAAAATGTGTTTAATCCCATGATGGTATGTCAACAACTGTTTTAATGTTTTGGGTAAATAACGTGCTTTACAATTCGGTTAACAGTTATGACTTGTTGACTCTGTACATTTTACTCTTGCACGGTTCTAATTATATAAAATGGTCCTGTAAAAACTCTGAATGTATATTTATTTGCTTTATCTTTAAACTAAAAAAAAGTAAATATGGTACTGAGACTGTGACAAGACGATTAATGATGTAAATTTACTTTTTGACTTTGACAACTTCTACATGAATTTGTGTATGTCCGTAGTGTCAATAAAGTTTTTTAAACAGATGGAGGGATTCCCAAGGGTACTAACTCTGCCCCTTTGATTGCAGACTTGTTTCTGGATTGTTGAGAAGCACAGTTTACGGTAAAACTGAATACAATCATTCGAAATTGAATTTAATTGTTTGTTTGTTTTAATCTTACCGTTACCTTGATGATATTGTTGCTGTAAATAATCAACAATTTGCTAACGATACTGTGGAAATTTACCCAAGGGGACGTATTTTAAATAAATCTAATATAAACAGCAGTAATTGAACCTTTATTAGATTTGAACATTTCATTTGAAACAGTAACCTTTAAACACCAATTTACAACAAAAGAGCCGATTTTTCGTTTTTTATTGTTAATTTTACTTTTCTACGATCATGGTGTTCATTTCACACCTTCTTACGGAGTGCATTCTCCCAATTCATTTCCTAAGTCCGTGTTTAAATTTCAATGAACGTAATCTACGCATAACTTGTTAATTATTAAGTCGAGAATTTCGGAATTTGCTACCACAAATTACTTAAAGCGTTTACCAATGTCTTTCAAAGATACAAATATTGGGATTATAATTTTGGGTGTACCTGTATAATTCTTATATAAACAGGATATCACGTCCTAACTTTTACGGTGACTTTGTGTATGGATCCCGTTAATTAAGAAGCGATAGATTTTTACTCATTGATTCTTTGACTAAATTTATTTCTAAAGGTTATCATAAATTTAAAAGTGTGGAAAAATCTCGACATATTGTTATTATCGGTACAATCACTGTTTGATAAATTAGAACATAACTAAATGTGTATTGCCTTACATTTAAGAAAACAGACGTTCGATACTATTTACTTTTAAAAATTTTGGCATTGCAAAAGGCTTTTAGTAGGCTGTTTATGACGTTTTAATTCTATATATGTTGGATGTCAATCGATTGATACTTAAGTCTGGGAAAACATGATTTATTTATTAGTTGTAATTTGCTTTGAAGTGGCTTTCAGTAACTGCGAGTACCCTTTTGTGTTTATATTAGTTGTATTGATATGCCACTGTCCAAGGCTAGGGCTAAATTTGGTGCATTTTTGCACACAACCATGAAATTTAAAGCCCAAATGCAAATAATTGAGACAAAAGTCTAATTTCTTATGAACATCTCGAAGATGTTATTTGGCAAAACTCATTTTGCCTTTTTTAATCTTTTTATTGGTAAAATAGATAACGTTTGATTAAATAATCTTTGAACAGGTTATGTTGTGCTTGTTATGCAATGAACATGATGAATTATACAATACGCCTTGAATAAGTATTTCATAATGGTTAGAAACAACATCGCATATACATAATATATGCATAAGGTATCGAATTAGTTTACTTAAAACTAATGTTAACTTTGCAATAGTAATACTACGTGTGATACCACCAAACCATAGTACGTCACATCCGGTTGCATACGAAAAAGGGTCGAAATAAAAGTATTTCCTTGAATTTGACAGTATTAGGAAATAAATCCTACATATCATTGCAGTAAAAAGTAAAATCACAAAAAAACTGAACTCCGAGGAAATTTTAAAAAGAAAAGTTCATAATCAAATGGCAAAATCAAAAGCTCAAACGCATCAAACGAATGGATAACAACTGTCATATTCATGACTTGGTACAGGCATTTTCTTATGTAGAAAATGGTGGATTGAACCTGGTTTTACAGCTACCTAAACCTCTCACTTGTATGACAGTCGCATCAAATTCCATTATATTGACAACGATGCGTGAACAAAAAAAAAAACCAGACACAATAGGTAAAAATGTCAAAAATAGGGGTATAGCAGACAACATTGTGTTATCATCTAAATCACTACAAAAGCAAACAAATGTAACAAAGAAGCACAAAAAGACAAAAACCTCTCACTTGTATGACATTCGCATCAAACTCTATTATATTGACAACGATGAGTGAACAAAAAAAAAAACCAGACAAAATAGGCAAAAATGTCAAAAATAGGGATACAGCAGTCAACATTGTGTTATCATCTTAATCACTATAAAAACAAACAAATGTAACAAAGAAGCACAAAAAGACAAAAACATTTCTGAGTCATAAACATATATCTTGGGTGTTTCAAAGCACCATTCTTTTTTATTTGTTATTTCTATTAGATATTTTGGAAACTTGAGGTTACATGGTTTTTAAAGCTTGTATGCAGGAAAAAAAAGGGTGGAAATTTGATTGGTTAACTTCCAGTGATGATTAGTATCTTATATGCAATGAAATGTTATGTGAAATGTTGTCTGTAGTACTGGAAACGATAAAACTTTACTCATGCTAAATATTTCTTTATTTGAAACAACGATAAATTCTGCACAATTTTTTGAAAAGTGCAATTTTAAAAAAGACTAATAGGGGAAAACACAATGGTGGTAGTACACCAATAATAATAATAAAGGAATATCAAGGTGCATATGATGCTTGTAGACTGCAGTTCCGGTCAAGATAACAATGATTTTATCAGAAAACATTTATTTGAAAGATATGTTATACTAATCAGTAAAGTACAAATTGTAGTGTGATGTGGTAAACTTTTTTCCAAAGATTACAATAAAACAATGACCTAATAGCATGTTTTGAGTGAAGGAAGTCAGTCATAGAATAGAAAATACCATTATATTATGCAGTATACATCATATTACTTTAAATACCCACTTACATTTCTTGTCAAATATATCAGTCGACTTGTCAGATGTGTCATTTGTTTGTAACAAGAAAAAGAATACGAAACCCAATGTTATTAGTTTTATTTTTAAAGGAAAAAAGCAATTATCTCCTGAGTGTTTAATTTCCAATTTTCAAAGTCCATATTTTTTTTTCAAAAGTCACTTAGTACGGATTTTTTTCCTTGTGTACAATCCTAACAACATAATAAAAATTTGCACTCTCTGTAGATTAAAATCCTGTAAGTGTAATTTATACTTATATTTACTTATTGAGTTTTCATAATATAAACTACATTTTGGCAAAGTATAAGGAAATTTATTTTTTTTCTTTTCCCATACTTTCTTCAAAGGCACATTCATTAAGTTAAACTATTCTCATATAAGTCAGCATGCAAACTATTCAAATGATGGTGTTAATGTTGTTGAGTGAAGCGATAACTCTAAATGGAAATAGAATTTGGTATTGATCTTGGATGAAGCCAATCATAAGCTGGTTCTCTCGATTTGTTCCGTTCGTCAATTGTTTTACCAATATCTCTCAAGTTTTGTTGAAACCTACAAGAAAACAACATAGAAAATTACTGGAATAAAAATATTTTTTCGACTTCAGATTTTGATTTCCTTTTTTTGTTTCTTTTTATTTAAAAAAAGGAGCAAAGAAAATTAAGCGCTCTAAACTTGAAACATACTAAAATAAACCAAATGTTTATAACTTCCTTATACTTTTTCACACTACTACGGCGGGTTTCACTAGCGGCAGTGTTTACTGTTCCGGAGTACACGAGTTCACCGCTGAATTTTGTTGTATTTCTAATGATCAATTGTTAATTTTCTTTGTAATGTTCTCTGAACAGTTTTCTTTTCATTTATCTTTTTTTTTTTTTGCCATTATATTGTCTGTTTTCCGTCGATTTATGGTTTTTGATAGCCTCGTTGGTATTTATCTCCCTGTTTAACAAGTTTGTAGAATTTTGCCTTATTTTTCACATGGGTTTATGACAGCCCACTTAAGGTGAAAAAGGACTTAACATGTTGTAATCAAAATCTTTTTTTTTCTGACGAAACCTTTCTTTTGTTAATGTATATTAGCAGTGCAAAATCTATCAACGTGTAAGTGTCTTCAATATAACGAGGATAATTATATCATTCTGAGAACAACAGAGAACAGGTTAAAATCAGATTACAACAAAGATCGAAATATAGCAAGTTTGGTATCCATTATGACACACACCAGATTTGTTTTAATTACGCTTATTGATAAAGGTAACACTTTTTACCTTCAAAAACTGTTGTAATTTCTTTTTTTAGAAATTCTTTACTGACAATCATAAAAGCTGTCTTATGGTTTGTGGGTTTATAAATGAAAATCATCTATATTGAGAGATATTAAATGAGGACAGCATTTTCCTTATTTTTATCTAGAAGCATAGGCTGTTCTTTTTTTTGTTTAAATTTGAGGCAATGAAACTAGTATGTATCATTCACCTCCAAAACTTTTATGCAAAATGTGTTTGATGAGATTATCCTTGTACCAATCATTTAAAATTCTTCAATGATTTGATGAAATAAGTAATGTCGTTAAACCTTGTAATCGTACCGTTTAAAACAAAAGTTAAGTTATATTACCAAACTGTGGTTCAAAAGTAGTGTATTATGTTTTTAAATCATTAATACATGTACTAGTAGTACAATCACTGTTGAACTTCAAATTCTACAATATTCTTATGTTAAGATCTACAACCATATTGTTTAATTCTTCTGATCAGATTATTTTTAATCTGCTACATTTTGAACAAATAAAAAATAACAACTCTCGATTTCTAATGGTCCTAATTGATGGATGTTAGTATAATTTAGTATATATATACATGATTGAAGGACATTACAATGATTACTGGTACAGTTAACGAAAGTTTTCACATATTTAGTTTGTCTGATTCATTTGATTTTAGTGAGAGGTATATTTATTTTACTGTATTTAATCTTGTAGAATGGACAACATGTTTACATTTGCACGATTGTCAATTATATCGAACCTTTTTGTGGTCGGCTCTTTTATTTTCTACTTGCTAGTGAATGAAAAAATAAAGATTTAAAATTTTAGACTTAGGAACAAAACTTGCTCTTTCATATGCAAATCTGATAATGGACCATCTAGAACATTTTTGAACTACAATGAAGCGGAAATATTTGACCAAGATTTTCGTATATGTGTTCTAGAACATTGGAAATGATATCTTGTTGATATTTAGGTGCAGATCAAATGATGACCTAAATAAGTTCAAAGACATTGGAACCCTTTCCATCCGTCTAGTTACTAGTATTTCAGAATGAAAGAAATGATCAGAAGGATAATTTCATTTACAGCCTCCGACAGCCAAACAATTAGAGAAGGCATTTGATAAGAGTTAAATGCCAAGCCTGTTATCTTTGATGATTTTTTTTATTGGAACCGAAAGAATTGTTCAGTTAACATTTGTACTGAAACTTAATGCGGCGTATGTTCAAAATATTATAACTACGTTTAAACTGACAGTTTGAGTTATTTTCCCAATTGATAGAAATTCCCACCTTTCAAACGCAACAGAGGGGGGAGGGGGGGGGGGGGGGGGGGGGGCAAAGTATATTGACTTGAAATGAAGCTATATTTCATTAAGATATTTTAACCAAAGATAAACACCTCAATAGAAGAGTTATACAACTTATCTAATTAACGTAACGCCATATTATCCTATACGGCGTCGTTTTCCTTAACAACGTTATCAGTATCCATACAGATGGATGACAGCGCTAGAGAAAGAACACTTGTTTTTTTCTTAAAAAAATATTATGGAGTATATTATTCTATGCATACCAAAAAAAGTTATTTTCATTTTATTGCATATATCTGATTAAATAGCCAGGTTACGATTCATTATATACATTTAGTTATATATAGTAATACATTATCTTTTCGTTTTCTCTTTAAAAGTTAAAAAAAAAAGGTTGGATGAATATCAGAAATTTTAATGCTGCCTGATTTCTAAACTTACTCTTCTAGTATTTGAATGGGTGGTGGATCTGTAAATGTCAGTTCCTCAAAATCACCAAGTTTCTGTTTATCCTTCTCACTAAATAGTTTCGTGATTGCAATTAATTTTAGAAGTTCATCTTTTGTTGCAATAGATTGAAAAATGGTTTCAATCGACACTTCACCCTAAAATTTTATGTTTGACAAAAAAAAAAAAAAAAAAAACACACAAATGTGTAGATAATATAACTTTGCCAGCACTTAAGAATTTAGAGATGTTGTTTATTACGTGTTTATTCGTTTTTACGATTGTCGTTCTTTTGTGTGCATCTTTTATTGTTTGAAGTTGTCTCGTTTTTCCATTGCAATCGATTAAAAGCATCGATGTTTTGTATCGTTTCAATCTCAGTGTATATACACAGATAGTATTTCCAGACACATACTTTCTTTACAAAGAAGTCTAAGCTAATTTTATTTTAGACGTGAATATGAAGTAATACTTTAACTTTACATAGCTGAAGTAATTTAGGGTTTACTGCTACAATTACGAAAAATATAGAGCTTTACTAAGCATTTTTGTTAGGCATGAAGAATAAAAAACCAACTTGGAATCCATAGGTAATCATACAAAGTGTCAGCATCATAAAACAGTCTATCAAATTTGCGTTTCATAGAAAATAGACGACACAAAAAACTAAATCCTAATTCAAAGAATTTAAAGAGGCCATGGCACTGACAGAAATTCTGATTTGAGATAGATATATATAAACCTGTTGTATGTTAAAGATATTTAGATTAAGAAATCACAAAAAAAGTAATGTGTCAATCTATATTCGACAATCTAACTGGCGAAATATTGGAGAAAATCCTTAAAAAGTTACTTATAGAATCTACATGGTCCTTACTTTATACAAGTATGTTTGAAAAGCCTTGTGTTAACAGCACGCCAAATTTTCTCAACTATGAGTTCACAACCTTATTAGAAGACGGTCAATTTAAAGCGTATTCGTTTACTTATAAGTATCTACATGATCTACTTAAAACAACATGTCACTCCGAGTTAGTTCCAAGGCGTAAATAAATCTTTATTTCATTGGACCCTAAAACAACTAAACACTCTTTTTCTAGATTGGTTATGGTGGTATTAAACGAAATGCAGGCTTGTGTAAATAAACGGATATGGGAGTAATGGCATGAAGGCTGTACAAAATTACTCAAAGCAACAAACAAAAAGACACCCAACCCATGACTGACCATGTGTATCCAATAAACACTAAAACGTCTAATATACTATTCAGGTCGGGTCCTATAAATATAATACAAATGCTTTTTAATTATTAATGAATAATAAAAAAATGTCAATACATAAGTCTCAAAATGAGTAAATATAATTGAAAAATTTAAAAACTACTAAGTGTCATCCTACTCGCCAAAAAAAAAATTCACCAATGCCATTTTCTTTATGACAATGCTATATAATTGGACTTGGAAGTTTTTGTAAACGCATATTTTCCGATGTATTCAACGATATTTCAGCCAAGGGTAGCATGAGATATAAAACTGAAGTACAACAATTGACTATGGTGCAAAATCTTGAGGCATGTAATATCAAACAGATGCAAATTAATCAAATTTTGCTCTAACTATTCCAAGTTCAATCTACTTTAACTCTAAAAGAGTTCATTTTGTATATTGAGTTATACTATTAGTCATTTAAACTTGTATATCCCTAGTTACGAATATGTGAGCGTATCTCATACGGTTAAACACGTTCAAATTGATCAACGTCTATTTCAAGCCAGGGAAAACACTTATAAATGAGATGAGTCTGGTTTTTATCAGGAAGCTACAATATAGTTAAATTTGAACTAATGGTTCCCATTTTTCTTTGATTCTGCTACTTGATTATTAGACACAATATCACAAAATTAATATGAATAAATGAAACATTATAAACCTTTAAAATAAAAAGAAAAAAGAAAAAGTAAAACCAATATTGGGCCATCATTATACTTTTTTGTTTACATATACTAAACATGGATACATTAGAGTACCTAAAAGAAAAGAAGTATCATATTAACTTTTAACAAGTCTAACGTAACAGTAAGTAAAAATTAAACAGAATGAAAACAAATCAGAAAGTAAAAATTACATACAGGTTGCTGCATGTGTATTACTAATACTTCATACATTCTTTGTTTATACAAATACATTTGTGGCGGTTTTTGCTGCCGTTTTGGTATTCTATCGCCAGCAGAGTTCTTTAATTCATCATTGAAGACCTTCAATCATCAGCTGATAAGGTCTATAAAGGCCACGACATTTGATATATGCTAATTTGTTTCGTTTTTATGGATTCCGACTGGTGTGAAGGAGCTTTATATCTGCTTTGCCTTTTTTATTTTATTTTGATCGAGATAGACGAAACCATCTCACCTTTTCCTTAGGAGGAACTCCATGCATAATAAATAAGTAATTAAATGGATCTCCATACTCTTCATACTGTTGGTAGTTGGCTACTGCATGTCCAACGCTACATGCATAAATGATTGGTGTCAATGTCATAACTAGTTGGTCAGTTGTTTCAAATCTCCCTCCATTTTTGACGCCCTGCAAATGATATAATACCATGTGCTAGTGTGATTTTCAAGCACATTCATGTAATCATGTACGTCCATACACATTCTATGTTTCGGAGAAATACGGTTGTTAATATAAATTTAAATTGTCCTATCCCAGTGAGTATTGTAAAATTAAACGTAAAATAAAGCCTTTTGAAAATTAATGCTCCTACAAAATGCAACAAAGTTTTCTAGCGACGTCATGCAATGTAGCAATCACTTATAATAAAGCATTGCATTGACAAAACAGTTCATGACCAGTTTTAAAATAGTTATTCATCAAACAGATACGTGCGAGGACTGTCGGGAAGATAGAAAATCGATTATTCGGTACATTTTAAAGTTTCGGAGGCAACAGTAATAATTGAAACAGAAGCTGAATAACTAATAACGAAAGTTATTGACATATGACAAACGACCTTCCAAAGAAGTGACTGCAGTACAAAATTCATTTCCGAAATGTAACATAGTTTGGAAAAGAAGGAATTTAATAAAAAAAAACTTAATTACGTCAAAATTTAAGATGATGATAACTGGTATTCTAAGAGAATGCTATTTCAAGCTTTTCCAATGTTTTATGAAACCAAATCGCTTGCATAGCACTGAATCATTATCTATTTTCAAGGGCAGTTTATCGATTTTTCTTTGTAACTTGGTCGGAAGAAATGTTCTTCTCATCACCATTCAATGATGTCACTTATTTCAAAATGTATTTAAAAAAAATATGTCTACAGGACACCTTTCTCCTCCCCCAACACTATTATATTTCCATGGTTAGTAAACAGCTACAATGAAAATCTGGTTCAAAACCCTTATTTTAAATATAGTTTGAAAAACGTTCACACCATGACTAACACATGCAATAAGTTTCAAGTTGATGTGATCAATATTCACGAACGGACAGAATACAAGTCAGAAAATTAATACAGACTGGTAATAAACAATTTTAAACACAAGCGAATGAAAAAAAAAATACTGTGCACTTGCATACATATTCGTCCTTGATTTCCTACAGGTAGTAATAAAATGGTTGATGCCAAACAAATGAAATAAAGTCATTGAACAACATACCGTCATCTCATGATATATAACCGATGCACAATTCATCCCCAAAGCTGTGCGTTCTGAAGCGACAAAATAACAAATAATGTAAGGAGTCAATATACAATATTGAAATATAGCTTATGTATATACACAATTTACATACACAAAATGTGTCATACACGTTGTATGTATGTTAATTAAGTAACAAATGTTAATCATGAAATTTAAAAATGCACATATATTGACAAACAAAAATCTCAAAACTGCAATTCAAATGCTTAAGATATGCAAACAATTAACTTAAAATTACAACTGGTATATGAAATGCAAACGTATTGTCCTGTAGAATATGTCTACTGCGTTGTAATTGTAGGAATTTCATTCATAAAATTACCATTTACAGTTTATAATTTTTTTTCTGTACCGGTACCGTTCGCCGATTTTTATCTGAAACTTAGTTGCACATGTTGGTCCTTATGATGAACCATTCGTTGACACAAAAAAATATTGTTAAGAACTAATAATATCTGTATTGCAATACCCATATTTTAATTTTTTTGCAGTTCAGGTTAGCGTTCTTTTTTTTACTGATATTTGTACTATTACAATATTGCTTGATAGTGCGATTAACAAGGACAGGATATCTTAAATCGAATTTTCCCATCGAACACACACTTAAATAATATCTAATTAGAAAGGAGAAACCGTTTACTATAAGAACGTTCAGAAATGGTCACAGTCGTTTAAAAAATCACAAATCGTTTAAAAATTCACAAATCGTTATCAATTTTGATATTTTCATGGTGCGGGTGTTCTAGTACTATTTATTGATATATAACATACACCCCAAAACATGAAAAAAGGTTGTTATTTAGACGACAAAAAAATATGACCAAATAGGGAGCTTAATAGGCCTTGATAAAGAATTTTCAGTTAGAGGAGCACTTTATTCAGGTACGCTGATATGATATGCTTACTTCCAGCTGTATTCCCTATGTAATTGTACTTATTAGGTATGTGATAAACTTATATATTTAACACATAATACAATTAGTTTGTATATAACATATTATGTGTTAAAGTTACATTCCGCAATAATGTAATATATAATATATATTCAAACATGAAAATTGATTGAATGGCTAAATTGTTTACAACACAGTTAATGCCCAACAGCTTGATGGTTGTCCGAGAAAATATGAAACCGATAGCAAATAAGACACATACAAAAGCTAATGTGTTTTAAACCAAATAACCCATTTATATTCTAAATAAATGCATCATTGTTTTAGGAGTTTGTTAACATATAAACATAAAATGATATAAATTACAAACCTTAATTCCAGCACCACCATCATCTACTGACATAACAATTTCTGCACCCCAGTCTTGTATTTCATTTCATCTTGTTAACCACTTTAGACATTCAATACTGTCATTGATAAATTAAGACAAACGCTCAACGAGAAAATATGAAACCGATAGCAAATAAGACACATACAAAATCTTATGTGTTTTAAACCAAATAACCCATTTATATTCTAAATAAATACATCATTGTTTTAGGAGTTTGTTAACATATAAAACATAAAATGATATAAATTACAAACCTTAATTCCAGCACCACCATCATCTACTGACATAACAATTTCTGTACCCCAGTCTTGTATTTCATTTCATCTTGTTAACCACTTTAGACATTCAATACTGTCATTGATAAATTAAGACGAACGCTCAATGTTTCAAAAGATAACATAATACATATGGCTTTTTCATCTAGGTGTTCGTGTCACACTGTTTGCTTATGCCTATAGATAACTAAATTATTCATAAATGAAATACAAATTTCTGTAACTAATGGTTAAAAAAGAATCTGTTGACACATAGATATGTCTAACCAAAAAGTAAGTTTGATAGTATTATGCAACTGTTGAAATTTAAATGGCAATACTTGAACATGTAAAATATTCAAAACAGTCAAAATCAATAAACAACGACTCAAGATTCAGGTCATAAAAATCTACATTGAGATGAGAAAATCGGATTGCTTATAATACAACGGCATACCAAATACCAAAGACTTGTCATCATATGTTCCCTTCAAACTAACCTAATCATAAACTTTAATATGTAAACTTTGCAAAAGCTTTGAAATAAATAGACCATGACTGTGAGGGTGGGTCTTCATGGAAATAGGATGTGCTGATACTTATACAGCTGTATACTAAATATCATTGACCTACAGCTAGCTTAGACTGAACTAATCATAAACCAGTACATTGTTGACGCCGCCGCTGTGGGAAAAAACATAGGTTTCGCTTTTTCGACAAAACATTATCCTTCCAGACTTTGTCATAAAGACATAGTGCTGCAACTCAGTATTAAAAACAACCTTGAACTCACAGTGTAAATGCAAGTGTGGAATTCATACGCTTTTCAACTAACTGTTATGGTTTGTTCATATATTGTGCTGTATCACTACTGTCCAAGGTTAGGGGAGAGTGTAACCATGTTTAACCATGCCACATTCTGTATGAATCTGTCTCAAGTGAAGAGCCTGTTATTCAGTTGTTGTCGTTTGTTGATGTACATCATATTTGCTTTTCGTCTATTGATTTGTACATAAATTAAGCCGTTAAATTTCTCGTTTGAAACGTTTTGTTTTTCGCATTGCTGGGTTGTTTATAGCTTGCTATGCGGTATGGGTTTTGATCATTGTTGAACGCTTGTGTCGTTTGGTCTCTGGTGGAGAGTTGTCTCGTTAGCAATCATTCCACATATTCTTATTTCTATATACTGTATGCAATTCAATGTTCTAAGTGTTGGCACTAGTAAGAACTATGCTAGAGCTGTAATGCCTAAATACTGTGAATAAATGCAAAAAGACTTATAAAATCATAAACCGATAATTGGTATTTTTAAGGAACAAACACGATAAAAATGATTTATATAAAAAACTTACCATAGTAGTGAGTCACATATTTCTGAACGTAATCTTTGATGGCGTCATAAAGGAGAAGCGCATCATCCCTCATATAAAAGGCACCAGTTAAGACAGACTTCAGAAACCTGAAAAGTAAAACATTTTAGCATTAAGCAATATTACGGCCCTGTTATAAAACTGTAGAAAACAGACAACAAACATTTTGTGTTACATACATACATTATGTCACCATGCAAATATAATTGTTTTAATGTTGCAGAGACCACTCTTTTATGGAAGTATGTTTATTCATTTTTAACCTTAACTTAAACCAATTGCAATACAAAAATAGTTTGTAAATAATTTTGATGAGTCCGAAATGCTTCTCTGGATTTCCTTTCATCAGGACAGTCCTACTGCAAATTGTTATAGTCAAGGATGTTTAATCTTTAATATTAAAAAGCAATATGATCAAAAGGGATAGAAACATTTAGCCGAATATACTAAGGGGCAATTCTTCCTGAGAGTGATATAACCGTAGTTTCTTAATAGTACAAATACTTATCAATGTTCCTGTAGGTATTTTTCTATCCTTTATATTGATGTTCCATTAGCTACTTCACACAAAGAGTAAAGAGGTACACCTTTTTCCTTTGTATTTGTTTCAACCACAGGGTAAAATATAAATATATCAAATCCTACTTGAAATGGAATCTTAAAAAGTTTACATCATTATATTGATTATTGTGCAACAATTGTACATGTACCAGCTGCGGCAATGAAATCAAATCTTGAAATCCATAAGATCCCTTATCTTATATGTATATTTGATCATAATGAGTTTCAGTTTTGGACCAAGACATGAAAATAAAGAAAAAAAACCCAATTTTCCCATAATAAAAAGGTTTCAAGAACAACGACCTTGATCATGTTAATTATTTTTACTTTAAACTATTGGTCGCTTTCATTTAATTTAGAAAATGCAAGATCATCAGGACAAAAATGTATGTACCGTCAAGTGACGGACACGGTAACGAATAAATGCTTCTGCAAATTTTCCCTGTTTATGTTGACCGTTAGATTGCCAAATGACCAATAAAATATATTTCTTACAACTTCTTTCGAACTTATGTAAACGTATACGAATTAAGCTAGACTTCATAATAACATAAATATAACTATAAAACACACTGGCATCTAACAAATAATCACTGTCGTACCACACCTTTTAAACACACATATAGTTATAATTTATTGTATCTCGATGTTCGAATTTCGCGTTTCTAAGAAAAAGACCTAATCACATTCCGAGAACTTGAGCATGTTGAAATACACGGAACTTTCAAGTTAATTATAGAAATAGCATATCACTTAATTTTTTAAATGTGTTATCATAATACGTAAATAATGTTCTAGTTGACAGGCATTCTACAAATCTCTTAAATACTCATTGATGAATAAGCTTAACATATAATGAAAAAGAAAACAAATTATGATTAATTCATGTTGTGACTTGAACAATTTTTCATCTTTTGATTATTCTTATATCTCTTTCGTCTATTATATTGCAGAATCAAACCGATTGCACTATGGAGATTTTTTACTTGTAAAATTAAATGTGATGTATTGTTTTTATTTATATTTATTAACCTTAATTATCATAGTTTCGTTGATGTTCTTTATTTTCGTTCGTACGAAACCATACAAAAACGTCCAAACGTCTTTGACATGTTTTTAGCTTTTATTGACTTGTTTGTGGCAGTTCTTTTCATTTCTAACTCTCATATAGGACTAAACACATTTTTTCTAGAGGTTATTGATGTGTAAAATGGGGCGATTAACTCACAAACTGAATAAAAGTTCGAAGGAATTTTATGTAAAGTTTGTGAGTCAGCGACCCAGTTGACACATCATAACCTCTAGAAAAAATGTGTTTAATCCTTATAATTCTTAACTAAAACATTTGCAATTTTTAATTAACAATTTTAGGTACATTGGCTACTATTTATCATCAAATGCACAATTGACATTTCGTTACTAAGAAGTAAGCCGCCATATTGACTTTCTGAAATCCATTAATGTTCGATTAATGTAATAGAATCTAAGATGAAATAACACATACCTCAAAAACTTATTTAAATTTGAAGCGTACAAGTAACGGAATGACTTAATCTTGAGAGTTTTCTTTCGTATGACGTCAAGTGTTCCCATGACGTTAATGCAGCAAGCTCATTCATGAAATTTCGCGGAATTTTATTTTATTGTAAATTTATAAATTTTCCAAGCTTAAATGTATCATTTCTTTTTATTATTCATTAAAATAGAAATAACAGCTTTTTTTTCAAACTCCATTTGCGTGAACCCCTTGATCCCATGCATCTGTATCGCGCATGAAGAGATCACAATGAAGGTTACGAAAATAGTTTCGGCAACATGGTCTATCGAAGTGTAAACCAAGGGAAAAATGCTAACGGACCAATCAAATTTAAGTATCTGTAGATATGCAAATCATATAAGAATTATTAAAATATGTACAATTCATTTTGTTTCACTTGTTACATTATGTGCTCATTGTATAAGGTTCACAGTGTTGCTTTTCACTACTAATTTGTATGTCGTTGATGTCAGTTTTCATTGATTTACTTCTCTATTACTGAAGTCAATTATCCATTTTTTGTTTTATCTTTTTCAATAAATGTTTCTGTGATCTTTGTATTTTTTTTTTTAATTTTCAAAGTAGAAGCGTCCCTCCCTGCCAACCTATTGAGCAGCTTATGTTTTAACACATATGAGAGTTTTTGTCCTAAAAAATAAAGTTCGCATTCAAGCAAATTGAAAAATAATAATTAAATGCAAAACGACAACACTGTTTTGAATGATTTTGCGAAAGTACATAACTTCGATACGAACGAATAAGAGCCAAGTTGCTATCCAGAGGCGATACTAAGGAACATACGGATTTTATAATGTGTGTTGAAATAAAATTACAACAACTTGTTTAAAAAAAGAAATAAATAAAAGACCCTTCAGTCAGGATCGGAGTCCTACAGTTTCAAAATGCCAAGACTCATGAATCCAGATATTTGTATCCCAGTTGTTTGGAAGAGAGTAATCTATTTTCTTTAACATCATATACACTTTTACACTTTAACTGCTGTTATTTTGCCATACACTACTTTTGAATAAAAACTTTTAAATAAAAAAATAATGTAGGGTCAATAATATCTTTTTATCACAAATACTAAATTACCTTGTATAATCTTGTTAATTTGTTTCAATCATATGATGTGTATCCCAGTCGTTTGGAATAACGTTATTTATTTTCTTTAGAACCATATGCATTTTTACTTTTAAACTATTGTAATTTGGCCATAAAGTATTTTTGAATAAAAACATTGTAAAGCAAAATTAAACTTTTTAAAATCTTGTGTATAAGGTTCAAGCATATGTTTCACGTCTAATAAGAAAAGAAGTATGTTTGTTTACATTTTTGATCATATTCGCTTGAAATAAACCTGGTCTCATTCAGTTTTTCTTTATCTTCTAATAATTACATTACATGTATGTTTTATTATAATACGTTATTTTGATCGGCTAACAGCAATCTATCGTCATTCTGAAACTAACCTTCATTTCAAAATGAAATGTAACATTCATGATGACACGAGCTTCCACAATAAAGTGCACAGGTAAATAAAAGACAAAAATGATAGAAATCGTGTTTTCATGATCCTAGCAAAACAATTATAAGTATTGAATGCTTCTTTTAGTAATTCTATAGGGTTATAAAACCGTTGACCGTGCGCACATTTTTAGAATGAAGCGCTTCCAAGCTTCATATAAAATGTTCTTCGGTCAACGCTTTTACACCCCAATAAATTTACAAAAAGAAGCATTCAATTCTTAATAGCTATTGCAAAACACATAAAAAAAGGTAACACAGGCGTCATTTAAGGGCAATTACTTCTATAGGAAGTCTATTGACACTTTTGGCAGTGTTGTCTCATTTGTAAATCTTCATGTTGTATGTTTACAATTTTGTTTATCTACAAAAGTTTTAGATATAACTTCTATAGGGAGACTAGAGACGATTTCTGCCATCTTAATCAATTTGCAGATCTTGTCCTGTTGATCATTTTAGCTCTTTACAATTTTCTCTATCTATTATATATTTTGCACATCCATAATGAGTAAACATTGAGCAAAACAATCATCATTGCAGGGCATGAACCTCTATAAGAAGTTGACCGAAAATTTCGGACATTTGACAAACTTGTTGATCTTGTCCTGCGCATCATTTTTTCTTGTTTGAAGTTTTCCTTAATTAATTATTGTTTATAAGATATTTGGCAAAAATTAAAACAAACTGGTAAAAATTGCAATGTACATGTCATCAACTCCAACAAAGTTTCGTCTAATTATTTTGGTGTTAATTCACCAAACGTTGATCTCAGCATTCTTCCAACATTGTCCATTTGCACCCCCCTTTAGATACTATCTATTTATAACAGTTCTAAAACATTTTTTGTAAAAGTTAAATCAAAACTTGGATTTTATCTCTATGTGTAATGTTTAGCTGTCTTGGCATGTTGGTTGGAAGGCGGAAATATCGGACAAATTGTTTTAACTGGATACTCCTATGTTGATTGTAACCAAATTGGGATTCGATTGGTCGAGTAGATTCAGAGAACAAGATTTGTATAGAGTTAACGAACGTTGACAACGACGACAACGGACGACCTCGCAAAGTGATGAGAATAGCTCACTTGACCATTTGAATTAAGTGAGCTAAAGAGGCATTTGAATAAAATGGGTAGTTGACTTTTTAATGATGAATTTCTTTGGTGGAAAATTTATCGATTTATTGAGCTGTATACTACACTTTTCATATCTTTCTTTATATCGTCGTCCTAATCATATTCTTTTCATGCATATTTTATGTTGAAATATATAAACTTGTAATTAACCACAGCGATATCAAAATAAAAAAGCAGAAGGCAGAGTATAAGAGATAATGGGAAAACTCTATCGTAAATACTCAGAAAATAAATGCATAGTGAAAAAATGCATTATTTGAAACAAATCAAATTCTTTTCTATCGAGGATTTGTGTCATTCGAAACATTAAAACTACTGAAGTTCTATACGGACTGTTATTATAAGTTTTACAAAATTACTCCCATTTACATTCTCAATTTTATTGTATTTCAATGTTGTAGCTGCTTATGTACGGTATAATTTTGATTGTAGTTGCTATGTACAAAAAACTGAAGTAAGATGAGAAACAAGAGTATTCAGTAGTTTAGTTATATACTGAACAAAAATAAAATCAGCAAATTTTAGACGACAATAAGGCCATAAGCTTTTGATAACGAACAATATCCCGACAAATTTCATGTATTCACCTTCTCCGGGGAACTATTCCCAACTTTGAGAAAATTGGAAGGAAAAACGGATGAAAATACAATGTATCAAGCAAAACATCAGTAGGAGAATTTATTTATCTTTGCTTCAACTAGAGGATTTACTGATTTTACTACAACTAGAGGATTTTGAAATATGATAACTTTTTTGTTGAGTGTTTGCATATTATACACTGAGTCATATGAACAAGGGAGTGTGGAGTAACAAATTTTGAAAAAAATGAAAAATAAAATTCCCATACTTTTGTATTTTTGGGGCAATAACCCACGAATAAGCTGCTGATGAGAGACCTTTTCATAAAGCAATATTTCCGTTTAAATATGAGTTCGTCAAATCGTTTAAATTACTAGGAGATATTGGTAAACAAATTTGTTAATGTGTAAAAAAAACATGACTTATTGTGATCTTCGGGCAAGGAAAGGGAAAGGATTACAGCATTTAGAAAAAAAAAGAATAAAGTTTTCGTATGAAAAATTAAGCTGGTATGATGCTGTCTGGATGGACATAAAATACATGATTTTTCATCAGCTTAAATAGTAAAAATAGGAAAGGGGAGTGATTATTTTGAAAATTTGAAAAAATGCTGCATTGAATTCTATGATGCGATTGAATAATAATAGATGTGATAAAGTAAGCCGTATGATGATAAATTTTATTAGCATGACATGTGTATCGAATTACCCGCATGTGGTAAGTTTCGAGACAAAGAGGTTTGAAAGCACGTCCTTTAAAACATGAAAAACATAACAGGCAAAAAGATTACATATTGTCTACTTAAAAATTCTTTATTTGTACCAGATTATTTAAGTAATATAGGTTTGATAATATTCAAATTCGTGTGCATATTGTTTTTGGTAAACCACATTAGTATTAAGATATACAGAATAGTCAATTTTACATGGAATGGTATGTACAGACATAATGTTAACAACAGATTTCTCTGTCATTCAAACTGATTCCTCCTACTTCTTGAGATTTATCTAATCATTAGATGACTCCTTGATAAGGTTACCGAAATTTGTCATTTCATTTTTCTTGTCAGCACTTTCCTGTTGAAACTGATCATATGGATCGTTTCGTGATATTGGTTGTTCGTATCCGCTAAACAAGCTTAGATAATCATTTCTACGTTTATTGCTTTGTAATTTGTCATCAGCATTTATTTCATTATTCATCATGTTCGGTCTTTGCTTTTCATCCCTTGTATGTTGAAGCTGATTGTATGGACTTTTTGGCGATCGTTGTCCGAGTTCATCGTATCCATCATTTGCATCAAGATAACTATTCCCACGTGTATTGTTTTCATCATCTTCATTTATTTCATCATATACTGACTCATCAGGCTCAGTATATTCGTTTCCATCTTCCCTTCTGACAAAACATAATTATAATAATTTTAATGATGATAATAATTAATAGTAATTTATCTGTTTTTTTTTTAAAATGTATCAATTGTCATAATTGTGATTCTATAATATAAAAGAAATGATATGGGTATCCATCCATGACACAAAATCAGTATATACACACAAAAAGCAAAAAATAGCGATTTTATTGCTACATGTATTCTTTGTATCATTGGATACATAAAAGTGTATTGTGTACAAATTAACGTAAGGCGAAGAATTTCTGGAATTAATCTTGTACGCATGTACCTTTTTAATATTTTAAATGAAGAAAGTTAAAAAAATTAACGATATTTTACACTAACATCATGTGAGATCCATTATGATTATGAAAACATATGTTGATAAACTGTTGATCAACACGTTTTTCAAGATTCTCATACTTTCCACAGAAAATATTTCAGAGGAGGAGTATTAACGTTTTCAGATAACACATTACTATAGGTTGGAGTTTTTTAGAAAATGAACAGAAAATGATTTTTCATTTTTCACTTCTTTTTTCTTTCTAAATTACGAAATATGTACATTTTTAACGCATTTAGCAGAATATGCATTGACGTTTCAATTAAATAAGACACATAAAGTGTGCATATCTACAACAGATATCTTTATATGATGATATTATTTGTCTTTATCTATATCACACTTGATGATAAAAAAACCTATGGAAGTAACAAAGGAAATTCACGAAACCAGAGTTGAGTCTCTATTTGCACATCGGTTAACAGCATTAACCAAAAGAAGATGAAAAAAAAAACAAAAACGAAAAGCTGACGATTTGACCCTTTGGACAAGGAGTGTTTTAAAAAGCAGACAACACTCGAAGGGTTACAATAACTTGGATTTAGTTTTTTTCTACTGCATATATAACTGAAAATCCAGAAACTATGATATGAGTGCACACTCGAATTTAACGTTTTTCAATTATTCTTTTTGTTAAGTTGTTTGTGTATTTAGAATACATATTCTACTTCAATTATATAAATAAATTATTCATGTCAATGACATATATCAATCCAGAATTTATCATTCTTTTCATTGGTTTCTATTATATTTGTCCTTCAATTGAACTGAAATGGCTTTTTTCATGGAAAACGTCTTTTTAACCCAGAACTGTGTTTAGTTGATTTTTCTTACTACCAAATGGTGATAACGATGTGTTTATAGCTATTTCTAAATACTTTGAGATATTTTGATGTATATGTAAAACTATGAATAAAAGGAAAAAACAAGTACTCGCAGAAATGTTTGAAATTTTTAATCTTAATAGAAAATAAACATGTCAGGAATATCGATATAATACAAATGATAAGTTTGGTTCATATAATTCAAATGATACGCTTGTTAAATTCAAGGTATTCCATTTGCCTGAAATCAATTTTGATGATACTCCATACTCGGGAGCATTTTAATAATTTTGTGGTAGCGATGAGCTGCTATGACTTAAGTACCCGTCCTTGTTAGATATTTTGATTATTAAAGAATATATTCCCTATCATATATTCTTTTCACGTCATTCGATCTTTGGTCGGGAGTTGTCTCATTGGCAATCGTTCCACATCCTTTGAATATTCTATAGCTGTATTGTTCGATTCGAGGATAGTTAAAACAGATTTCAAAAATATTTGATGTATTTGCTATTGGTTTCAATATCATCTTTCTGGCTAAGTAGTTTCAGATACTTATGATATGGTAAGCAAACTTATCATGTATGTATTATAAATTTCCCAGCCTTATTAAATATTATGAAGCTCGAAATAGTGGTTTATTTTTAACGGCTCTTCCCTTCAAATCAATATATAGTACATTTCCCCAAGACTATCCACAAACTAGTATGAAAATATCATTAACACACAAATAAATTTATGTTATGCACTAAGTTATATTTATATTCCATTGAAAATCGAAGCACTAGGAAAGAGAAGCAAGCATTAAACTAGTTTTAACATTAAAGATGTTTCTGTTCATATATTCATTCAGCAGAACATTATTTTGATTTTATTTGTTTGGTATTCTCTGATAATATCACTCTTTATTGTCTTTTAATGGTAAACGAGCGGCAAAAGATACCAAACGGACTTTTAATCTTATAATTCGAAAGTAAACTGACAACGAAATAACAAAAAAAAAAAAACAAGAAAACGACTAGAGGACAAACAACAGTATACATAACACAACATAGAAAACCCCATCAAATACCGGGGATAATATCAGTTTTTCCGGGAAGATAAGAAGATCCTGTTCTACATGTGGCATCCGTCGTACTGCTCCTGTAAGTAAAAACCCAGTGATAAGTCTAATTTGGTAGGTCATCTTCAGGGAAAACGAGGACGGGATTTGTGTCGTACAGTTGTACAATATCCATCGTAATCTGTGAAAAAGATATTCCATAATGGTAAACCAACTCGTGAATGCGTCCGTAAAATTTTCGAAGGGATAATTTCAACTTCACCACTTGGTTTTATAGCTTCCTTGTGAGCAGCAACCCTCTATCAACATGATCAAGGAAATCATGATAGGAAACGCAAGCCCTGGAATATAGTATCAACAGGGAGATATATACTCCATTTGCAGGCTCTGCTGAAATGTTGCTCCATTGAAATTGAAAGTTCACCATTGGGTAGCTAAAATCATCTCTTTTGTCGTACATTTTTGTTCTCAACCGACCCTCGTTGTCAATTTCTAGATGTAAGTCAAGATATGAGGCAGACGTAGCAGTATCTGTTAATATACTTTATTTCAAGTTCGATGGGATAGTTGCGTTCAACATACTCACCAAGCTTTGAGTTATTTAGTGCTGATAATTGTCTAACATTGAACGTCACATGCAGACCACTAGATACCTGTCACCATTTGTTCTAGAGGATAATTGATTTTTTATTCGTATTAATTTTGACACCATCTCGCAATATATTCAAACAGTAATGTCCTTCATGATATTTGAAAAATATACCTTATTTCCTAACATTAAAAATTTTTCCATAAGCAATTCTTAAGATTCATTTTTTGTTGCAAAAAAAAAAAATGCAACAAAAAAAAAAACCCATGTAATTTTAAAAATACTTTTATTGAATTTTATCTCTCATGTGGCTTTTCGCATTTTAGAAAATTTCAATCGGAGAAATGAAAATGATAAAGAAACATGTATATCAAGATTTTAATTTTTTCAGCTTGAGCTATTCTTAAAGTTTAAGAGGTGTGCTTCGTGTATATTATATCCTATGTCTAGTAGTTATCAGCAAATGAAAGTTGTAAATGCACAAATTTATCTTCATGTAATCACGGTTTTGTCTATCATGTCTATTGTGAAAACATATCCTGCCAAATGATTGATGAATGCATCGAATATAGCATCCAGTAATAGAATATATTGTAAAAGAAAGGCTGAAGATACCTCTATGACAGTGATAGTCAAACTCATAAATCGATGACAACGGCAAAAAAATTACCTAAAGAAAAAGAAAAGTATACGAAACACAAAATAGACAACTAAAGACTGAGCAACAGCAACTTTAAAAAAAAATAGGGTGATCTTAGGTGCTCCGGCAATACTACCAGTTTCTGCTCTACGTGTGGCATACTGGGAATTATGTATTGTTACACGAGTAAGTTACATGGTTAAACTACTGAAACAGATCGGTTGACATATCGACAAGTACATTTTACCTCAAGTTTCCTATCCTTTCACATTCACCTGAAACATATACAGAAACATCCATGTAACAGTGTTTTTGCAACCCAAAATGACATTATTCATAACAATTTAATATGTCGAAATTATCAATCATCTTTGTTTTGGTATATTAAATGAAATCTAATTTAGCAATAACGCCACAATGACGAATGGATTGTGAACGTCGAACAAGCTCTAGATTTTACTGATGCAGGATCGTATATTATAGAGTTGTGAAAGTTACAAATATAAAGACAAAAACAATCAGAAAATGAATGCACTAATTTAAAGAAATAGACAAGTGTAATCATTAAAGTGACTTTTTAAAAGATGATTAAAAATACTTGTACAAAACTTATTTCAAATACTAGTATCCAACATGTCTTATTTTAATTTTCAATTTAACAAATATTTTGAATACACTGTCAGTTATATTTCTCAACACGAATACAAAATACTTATTGCAATGATGAATGATAAACCATTCATTTATATTATATTTATATTTCGTAGTTTAGTGTGGCGTCCTTTTCGCTGAACTAGTATACATTATTGTTTAAAGCCAGCTGAAGCCCGCCTCCGGGTGCGTGATTTTCTTGCTTCGTTTAGGACTATTGATGGCCTTGTGCTGTTTTCTGCTATTTAGTCGGATTGTTGTCTCTTTGCCACATTCTCAATTATATTTGTCGGTTTTCAATGCCTTATTTTGTTAGTAAACGAACTGTCCAATTATTTGACTCGAGCACCACTGATGGCTCTAATGTAAACGAAACGCGCATCTGATGTACGAAAGCACAAGCCTGGAATATGTTATAAGTAAACATGAGTTCTATGTCCAAATTGCATCTTCTATTTGAATATATATTTCATTTGTTTAGTTATTTTTTACGATAAAACTAGGCCTTATAAATATGAGCTAATTACCTTCTCTCCTAGCTTTTTGTATCATTTCTTCCTTAGCCTTTATTTTCATTTTGAATTCATTGACAGTCTTAGTCTTCTTTCTCCTCAAAACTAATACAGCCGACATGCCTATGATAACAGATACAACTAATCCAGCTGCTAATATTCCAACTACCATGACAAATGTATTGCCATTTTCTGTAACTGTTTCTGTTTTGTACTGTATGTCACCAATATACACCTGTATCTTTATGACGTTCAACTAGGTTTAAGAAAAATGCAGTGTGGGAACATTGTGAGATTCAAGTTATTTTAACGCTAGTATAACACAGTTTTTAAAAAAAAATATGGGTCTTAGAAAACTCATTGTTTGATAAACTTTTATCTTAAAATGATTCTGTTGTAGACATGGTAGAGTATTTTGAAAATAATGGTTTTGTTTTTACTGTTCGTGTCGGTCTGTGCTAGGATATTGAGGTGTGATTTGTGATAACTATCTCATCTTTGCAGTTTGTCGTCAAATTCAGCTAAACATAACTGTAACTAAATTCGGTGAATCAATCATTTTCCTTTTTTTACATTGGACCATAAGTTGTGAAATAGCACCGGACATCATCACATGCATAGACAACTTTTATAATTTCAAAGAGATTTTTGATCAGTCTTCACATTATCATTTTGAACAACATACGTGTATGCTATGTTCAAGTTCGTCAATTTGCAGTTGCGTATAACAATTCTGCGGTCAAACCATGGTTATGAGTTTTATGTAAACAACCCTTTTGCACTTTCTATGGTATAATTTCGTCAATTTTGTTGATATTTCTTGTTTTATATCCGAAATGTGTGCATAATTGTCATATCATGCTAATATATTGATTATGTATGTGCATCTATTCTGCAGAAGTTTTTATGGATGACTTTGTGTGCGTTTAGCAATTTTGACTAGCCAATAAGAAAATAGCATCAGGGATAAACTAATGTGCATGTTTAGATATTTATAGTGCGCTTGTGTGAGTTTAAGCTCATGGAGTCGGTGTTTATTATATTAAGAATGTAGTTAAATGTGTACTGATTGATATTTTGATCTGGGAAGACATGATTTATTAATAAGTTAAAATGTGCTTTTTATGTTGTAATGTTACACCACTGTTACAGGTTAGGGTGAAGGTTGGTGCCTGTTAAAACATTTAAACCCGCTGCATTTTTATGCACCTGTTCTAAGTCAGGAGCCTGTTGTTCAGTGGTTGTCGTTTGTTTGTGTGGTTCATAAGTGTTTCTCGTTTCTCTTTTTTTTTTATATAAATAAGTTCGTTGGTTTTCCTGTTTGAAATGTTTTACACTAGTCATTTTGGGGCGTTTTATAGCTTGCTGTTCTGTGTGAGCCAAGGCTCCGTGTTGAAGGCCGTACTTTGACCTATAATTGTTTACTATTTACACATTGTGACTTGGATGGATAGTTGCCTCATTGGCACTCATACCACATGTACCACATCTTCATATTTATATTTGCAACCGCGAGTACTATTAGATCAGTACTTTTTGTTTGTTTATGTGTTCGATGTTTTTGTGTTTCTTGTCGACCAATTTTTTTATTTTTAAATTATTAGTCCCCGTGATCAATATCATCAATAACACAAATGTCTTATATACTCCGAAATTAGACTAACACAATAAAGAACTAAGGTTTAGACTCAATCATGTAAATTTGAGCTCAGAGATGTTGGCTTATTTTTTTAGTCCCTTATGACTACAAAAAGCCCTCAGAATTCTGCTCTGTACGCAACACAGTTATATAGTCTTATTGCAATGTTTAAGAACTGAGCTGATACCTTTGCAGGTGGTCTCCTAGTCCTTAAGGATATCAGCATTTAAGTTGTCAATGTTTCAACACTGATTTGGTTAGCAGTATATGTTTCTTAAATTTTTGTGATAAATTAACATATTTTTATGAAGAGAACGTTTCTCCCTTAAGTTAAATTGACTTGGGGAGGGAGGTGAGTGGGATGGGAGTAGGGTGGGGAGTTATCATTCATTTTATGTCTAGTTTGATTATATAGCTCTTAAGTTTTTAAAATATATGCATTGATGGCCACAATATTTTGGGTTTAAACGTAACCGAGGAAATGTAAATCAATTCAAGTGCTTTGGAAGCAGCATATTTATGAAATGTTATTTCAGTTTTGTAATTGTTTTGGTTTTTTTTTTATTCAGCTGGTTGCACATTGACATATACCTCCTTTTTAACTTTTGAATTATAAGAAACATAAACACTTATTATATCGTTGTAAAGGAAAATACATTTTAATGTATCGTAGTTTTGATTTAAGCTTTACATATGGCAGTTTTATGGGATTGAACATGTATAACAATTCTGAAACATTAAATTAAATGTAAGTTACTTACAATAACATGAACTGTATTATCATCTGTATAATTAGTCCGAGGTACTGACTTAGGTGGATAACAAGAGATGTTATACATACTAATATCAGTTATGAAACAAATTCCATCCAATCCAACATGTATATGATAATCTTCACGACGTGCAACATTTAATATATTTCTACCCTATAAAGAAATTTTGTAAATATTGCACTTGTATTTCTATAGCGTATCATATTTGATTTCCGAGGTTCGAAATTACAGTTCGTATGAAATTATAGAACCCCAGTATAATGATTTTTTATCCTTGTGAGTTTGTAAACCAATATAATTTTATGTCACAGTTAATTTTCCCATAATCTTTGTTCCTCAAGTGAAAACTTACTTTTCGTCTAAAAATCTAAGCACAATCTTTTGCAGTATACGTATTAAAGGAAGGAAATGTGGTATGATTGCCAATAAAAACTGTCTTCCACAGTCCAAAATGGCATGGATTTAAGCAACTGTAGGTTATTGAACAAAATTTAATCATGAGCATAACTCATACCATAAAGTCAGATAAAAAAGGTCCCGGCATGAGAAATGTGAATGAATTCTAACAAAAAAAATTAACAGCTTAAATTTTGACTAAACAACAAACGAAAAACATTAATGGCACACAGCAACCAAGGCCTGATTACCCTTCTCTGTTCAAGTTTTACAATTGTCATCAGATTTCAAGAATTTGAAAAATATTTATGCTTATTGTCATAATTTAAGAATTTAATGTTGATAATTTTGCAGTTTTAAGGAACAGAACATAATAAAATTTGTTACCGTTAGTGGACATTTTATATTTGACAATTCTATTGTGAGTTCACATATAATGCATAAAACTAATCATTTTGTCGATTTTATGTCGCAGAAGCGAGACATAGCGATCGTTGATTCCGTCGTCGGCGTCGTCAACATTTAGGTTCTGTCTGTGGTTAAAGTTTTTTTAGACATCAATTACTTTGCCAAACCTTCATGGAATTTAAAAACATTTTAGACAAAAACTTTCTTATGACAAAACATAGCAAAATTTTTAAAATATGCATTTCTTTTTTCCGTTTTATACTGATAAATGAACTTAGTTTGATTACAGTTAAGATTAACATTCAGTGTAATGTTAATGTTTTTCAGTCAAATATTCATGGAATTCTACGTAAATTGGACAGAAGCTCTTTAAGATCAAAACATTAAGACATTATCCAGAGCAAAATATATAGTAAAAATATTTTTTGTCTTCATTTTTTTAATTTTTTCATTTTACTCAAGGACTTAGTTTTTTTTTAAATTACACGTAGATACAGGTTAGTTCTAGTTTGTGAGACATCAATTATTTGTCAAACCTTCATATACTTTTATAAACTTTGGCAGAAACTGATTTATGATTAAGAGATAATGAGGCATAATTTTTCATTTTTTCAATATTTACTGTTAAATAGACTAAGGTATTGAAGTCAAGCTTTACAAACATTCTAGGATTAATTGTTTTGTCAAGAAAAATGTGTAAACCTTCGTGGATTGTTTAAACATGGACAGAAGCTATTTTTCAATATCAAGATAGCATCTGAAGAAATAATTCTGTATTTTATTGATGAATGGACTTACTTTTAATAGTCCCCATTAAATTTAAAGTCATAAATTTGAGTTAAGTCTCACTAAATGGTTAGCTGAAGTCCAGTGTAATTCGTTAATTAAGACATACTGCAAAGCTTCTCATTTAAAAAAGCCTACTGTATTTTCGAACTTTACCTTAATTTCAAGAGACGATTGCTTGTCATATAGATAAACGTCATGGAAATTTTCAAAAGTAGGGTCGTCCACATATTCTATAGTAACTTGGATTGTAACACCATCGAAATAAACTTCAATAGTTTGATTGTCAGGCTCATTCTGTAACCTTGGAGGTGTTTCACATTCAGTTGAAGTATCTTCAGGTACATCACATGGGTTATCCTAAAATAATATTTGATAACAAAACTTGCAAAATAATTTTGCAACGGTTGCAACCTTTCATCTTTCTTCTGCTTTTAAAATTGCAGTATATATGCTGCGGTCATATTCATATCACACTACATTTCAGTTAACTATGTAATCACTTCTGCAGGCATCGCAATTATCAAATATCAGAGAATGAACAATGTCTCTGACTTGTGAAAACAGTCGTTTACAGTAAACAATCATTAGTTTTTCAGCTTGCATGCAATGCTAGTTTTGTTGTCTATACATATTAGGGATGTCAACGAGTACTCGAGTATTCGAGTATTGCTCGGTAGTACCGAATATCGAATATCAAAACAATACTGGACTATTCGGTTTCCTGTTAGAATATTGCTGTCTTCATTATGTAAGATTGATCTTCTTGAGAACCTCTTTCGGAAAATTAAATAGGCATCACTGATTAAGCATACTAGTAAATAGAATACATTTTGTTTCGAATGCTTGTGTTGAATTGTCATTTAAAATGCCTCCGAAAATACGTGGGCTATAACTAAGCTAACAATTTAAACTTAACATGTCACATCGGTACCGTCAGAGCAAATATTTTCGTCTGAAAAACTGTAATTTACAAAGTTGCAAAACCGACTGTCCCCAATAATAGTTGACAAGAAAATGTTTCCTAATAAAATAACTTTATTTGTTGCATCCTCTGGTGACCCTCAGCGAATAGTTAAAACTTCTAATCCTTACGCCTTTGTAAACATTAAATGTGTTTTCTTAAGGATTACCAAGGATTTTTTTCCCTTGTTATAATTCTTAAATAGGTGTTCATTAAATTATATTGATTAGATTGTTGTTTTTTACTTAATTAGTACTTGTCGGTAATGAGCTATTAAATATGGTGTGTAATTCCTTGCCCCAGATACTTATGTAGATGGTTTTTCGTCCGTTGAACAACAAACCACGGAATGTAAAATACGTCTTTTTGTCTTTCCGTGTTGTAGATATATTCCCGAGCGAATACTCTAGTATCGCTCGATAAAACCAACGAGTACTCGATTAGTAATTGTTTACCTAGTTGACATTCCTAATACATATATAACTAAACCAAATCAAATCAATAATTGTAGATGGAAATAATTTTTAGTTTTTCATGTACCGAGACAGTTTTATGTAAAACAAATCGTGACAAATTGTATTTACTTGTGTACTTACCACTCTTTCTACTGTTATAGCCCCTACATTATTGAAACCATTGCCACGAATTGAAAATACTACGCCTCCACTGAAGAATAAAATCGGAGCGTTGTAAAAAAATCGCTTGAACAAGTGTTTACCATTTAAAAGAATATGTGCTTCATTTTAAAGTTACAGTATACCGATTATTGTGTATTTCATTTCAGCATTAACAGTTGAAATGGGATTTACATCATCAAAATATCAAACTTACACCACAAACAAAAGAAAGCGTCAGTTTTGTTAACAATTATTTCGTGCCTTTCATATTTTTTCTTCATATTATAAGTAACAGAGTTTGCTAGTGACCTAACACGATATATATGGGGTTAGTAAATTCCATATGGAGTGAGAGCGAAGATCGAACCCCATATGAAATTTACTGACCCCATATATATCGTATGAGGTCACTAGCACACTGTGTAACAAATTTATCTTACCGACTATCTTAACATGTGGCATTTAGGCTAGTAGCCTATCAAAGTGATCAAGTCTTTAATATAAAGAACCTGCTTCCATTGGTCTATACAAAAACAAATGCCAACAATAAAAACTTGTTAGATTTTAAAGTGTTTTATTAATTTGTTTCAATTGTTCATCATCAATTTCTTCAACTGTTGTCCGTGTGAAACGTTTCCGATTTTTCATTAACGCCGTGTTGTTTCTATAAAGGGGCGTTACACCACTACTGACCGTGTATTAAAATAAACCAGGCCTTCTAACCCCATATGAAATATACAGGGTCTCCACGTAGTAGCTCTTTACCAATCATACTCTTAGAAATGTAAAGGAGTTAAAATAAAATTTATATACGCTTACCCTTGTAAAGCCTTCGGTAATTCAGTCGATATGTCAAATGTTGGATCCGGTAGATATTGAAACGTTTCTTTAAGTGTCAAGACTGTCAAGTCATCAATAACAACGTTCAGCTGAGTCATATTTCGAGGTTCCACTGATTTGCCTGTTTTGCATTTGATGATCGTTGGACTGATTGTTTTTGGTAAAACACTGTAATAAACACAAAACATTTGTATACGACCGGAACGTTTGTTCGGTAAAATGCTGTTCAACGGAACTATAAACAACTATTATGCAAGTGGTAGGTTAAGCTAGCTATAAAAGCAGGTTTAACTCACCGTTTTCTTCGGAAAATGACTGTACCAAGTCAGGATTATAACAGTCGATTTTCACTCGTTCTGTTGATTGATAACGTATGATTTTTTCAGTTTTTGATTGATCCGATGATTAACCAGACGTATCGAAGACATACAAGGACGGATGATCGAACAAAGAGCTGTTACATAAACATTACAATGTACAAATAATGTCGAGTACCATTAACCACTGTGACATATTGGAAAGTGGACACTCTGTAGTCTAAATTTGTTTGTCCACTTCATTTCACGAGTTTGTTTAAAATTTTGTTAAAGTTAGTGTCACAAATGCAAATCTTTTAAAAGCTTTCATCATTTTGATTACTAAGGTCGGCCTTTACAGTGTTTAAATCATTGCATTTTTTAACCATAAGGGCAATTTGTGAAGTGTTATGAAGCAAAAACTGTATTTTACTTATGTAAACATCCAATAAATCAAGTCTAAATATACAAACAAAGTGAAAACCGCGAAAATCGGTCGAAGTAACAGGGTAAGACACTGTTGCTATGGATTCATCAGTCGTCATGCGAATCAAGAATGAATTAAAATGTCATGGTATGGCAAATTGCATGATCTGTAAATCTATACATCACATGACCATTCTTGCATATTAAGGTATACAAAATTATAAATAATACAAGTCTTATAAATTGGGACAACAGACGCGTGTTTCGTCTACAGACGACCAATCAGAGGCTGTCAAATCTATTACGGTTGAAGTGACAATTCAAATACGAATCGGAAGAGCATGCAATACTAAATAAATGTTCCAAATACGACTTCGTCCGTCAATCTATGCTTTTAGATAAAACAATATAATTGGCTCAAATAATTCAACATTTTATAAACATTAATTTACAAAAAAGAACATATTGACTACTGGGCTGGTAATCTCTTAGGTTATATCACTATAATATGTCTCCTATGCGTGGTAGCACATACAAATTGTTTCGATCGACAATTCGTGATGGTGACCATAGAACATAAGTAGTACATGTAGTATTCTTCCTCATTATCTTGTTATCATTGTTTGATTATTTCGCAATTTAAGTAAAAACTTATATAATTTCATAGAATGATAATTACTGGGAGAGAATGTCAAAGACACAAAATACATATTTCCATTCATGTTCACATCTTGTCAGCTATTATAAAATTTATATCCATTTTTAACTCTTCAGTGGACAATACCTCTTCAGTGAACAATACGACGGGTGTTAATACCATAAATGATATTCTTATCTACAAAATAATACTTAATCGCTCAAGCTTTTATAGAAATGTACGTCCATTATGAGTCGATACTGTGTCCTCGGGCATTTAACATCTTTCCGGCCTTAGTATACATTCTTTTTGCCTTGAACTTTAGGTGTTGGTATGTATACGTCATTCATTATAGCAGCTATTGACTAACTTCATGATTCAATTTTTGTATTCCCTCAAACAGTAGAGTTATTAGTCGAGGATTTATTTTTATCACTAAACTTTATCCTTTATTTCATTCGAGTCAAAATGCAACACAATGGTTTACTCTATCTTACATTCATGAGACATCTGCAAAATGATCTCGTTTTAAGCTTATGTTGGTGTTGCTATGCCACATATTTGTCCATATATTCATGTATTTAGTTTCAGGAATCCATTTATAAATCATAAACAAAAAAATCAGTTGGCATTTCCGCTACAATTTGTCATACCTCTATGCTTACTTTAATACAACCGCGTGATAGATTATTTGTGTTCCGTATTTTCGATATTGTAAAAGTTACTTTGTATAAAAATCAGTAGATGTGGTATGATTGGCAATAAGACAACTCTCTACCAGAGACCAGAGGACAGAGAAATTAACAACTATAGGTCACCGTCAGCCTTCAACACTGAGCAAAACCCATACCGCATAATCAGCTATAACTAGCCCCGAAATGACAAATGGAAAACAATTCAAAAGAGAAAACTAACGGCCTAATTTATGTACAAAAGAAATAACGAAAAACAATATGATACACAGCAACAAACGATAACCACTGAATTACAGGCTCTGATACGGCTATAATGTGGCGATGTTAAACTAGTTTTAAGGCGCCAACCCTTCTCTTAACCCGGTACAGTGGTGTAACAGTACAACATAAGAACAAACTATAGAAATCAGTTGAAAAAAGGCTTAACTATCAGATGGATACAAATAGAAATTAATCTAACAAAATCACAGAGTGGACGTGGTAGGTAATTTATACATCACCACAATAAAAAGACACTTAGTACAGATCTGAGAGTACTCACAGTTACTGACAGCTAGTTCAAAGCCAATAACAACTAATAAAACAAATCATGCACGTCAGACTAAAATATCAATCAGTACACATCCGATTCAATGGATTTAGTATAAAGAGATCATTAACAGTCAGAGAAAAACATGACCTTGTGCAATGCCAAGATACAGGTAACGACTGATCGAAGAGCCATGAATGTGCATATGTATATAAAAATAATATTTAGTTTGATTTTAATTTATTGATAATAAAATCAATAGTAATACCAATAAAAACAATATTCAAAGATCTACTTACAGTGTTGAATTGGTAACCTGTTATAATAAGTTTATTTCAAGGATCGATAAGTTTCGCAGATCGTATCTAAATTTCCGGGTTCGGAAAACAACATCTCCGTGAAAATTAAGATGTGCTATCCAGTTTGAAATAAGTTTCTAAAGATACAACCAAATTTCAAACCCAAATCAATATATCTGTGGAAGAATTTAGTAAAGTTTTTAAGTAATTTGTGGTACCGAAATCCCTGACTTAATCATTTTTCAAGTAATACATAGATTACGTTCATTGAAATCTAAACCGTCACAACAGACACGGGCATAGCGAAAAATTTGTGATAAATAAACACCGTAAGATGGTACCAAAGGAACATCACCATCTAAGAAAGGAAAATAAACAATAAGAAACGAACAATCGTCCCTTTTGTCGTAAAGTTTAGTGCAGAGTTTCCCGTGTTTAACAGAAATATCGAAATCTAGAAAAGGGTAGTTATAACCTTTTTTTTATTTATTTAAAGTAAATTCCTTTGGGTAAATTTCGGCAGTAAATATAGAAAATTCTTGATTATTTAACGAAAAAATATCATCAAAATAACGGAAAGTGTTGATGCATTTATCAATTAAATGCAATTTAGACGGGTCTTACTGAGTTTGGCCATAAACTGTACAAGCACAAGTTTGCTCTGAAAGGGGTGCAATTGGTGCTCATAGGAACACATACAACCTGTCGATAAACTTTATTGCCGAAAAGTACATGCATATTATAAAGGAGAAAATTTACAGCTTCAATCATTTTATCACACCTCCAGTAAGTATATCTAGCATATTTACCTTTCTCATTAGTGAAGAAGTCTTTAAATGAGTTACAGCAAATATATATACATTCAGATTTACCAGACGACCTTTTTATTAAATAGGAAAACTTTTGTTTGATAAGATTGTGTGGAAGTGTAGTGTAAAGAGTTGAAAAGTCAAAACTGTCAACAGAATCAAAAGGACCATCAAAAGCACGTAATTTATCTAAAACATACAAAGCATGTTTAACACTACAAAAATAGTTAATTCCACTATTTTCATATGTTTTATTACAAAAGTTAAGGATATGTTATTTGATAGTAGTTACTGAACTAGTTAAAAGAACTGAAAGATTAGTTTAAGAACACTTACTAGAGGCCGCGAGAAAACGACTTTTACAGGTTTTTTGTGTAGTTTTGGTAACCAGTACATAGAAGGGACCTTCAATTGTTGTTACAAAAATAAAGCAAAATAACAAAAATACCGAACTCCAATGAAAACTCAAATCGGAAAGTCCCTTAATAAAATGGCAAAATCAAAAGCTCAAACACAGGCATTTCCTTTTGTAGAAAATGATGGATTAAACCTGGTTTTATAGCTAGCTAAACCTCTCACTTGTATGACGGTCGTATAAAATTCCATTATATTGACAACAATGTGTGAACAAAACAAACAGACATAACAGGTTAAAAAGTCAAAAATAGGGGTATAGCAGTCAACATTGTGTTATAATTTTAATCACTAAAAAAACAACAAACAAATATGTCAACAAAGAAAAATAAAATGGCATATATACAAAGCACGTAAGCACAAGTGAAAGACAAGAATACAAAAAATTACCACAGCACAACAACACATTGGCGGGATGCATAAGTACCGAGCCACGCCATAAGGATATTACCAAAAATGGACTGAACAGTATAGGTAATAATTTACAAAGACAAATAAAAGAACACTATAACACGTAATTAAGATGATAAACAACGTCAGTACCTAAAATCTCTACTTCATGTATTACTTGTCAACAAGGTCTTGGTATCTTCCGATGAACTTTTTATAGAAAAAAGACGAGACGAGACAAGTGATGCCTTCCCTTGTCGGATTGCTCAGGATTGTAGCACATTACATGTTGTGTTAAGGCTTTAGAAAACTTTCAAAATCGGCTTTTACTGTGTTATACTTATAGATACTTATTAATCTTATTACACAGAGCAAGGAAACACTGTCGTTAGCATATACTAGTATACCTGCATTTTAAACAAAACACATCGTCACAAAACGAAATATTGTACCGACTTTGTCCTTCAAAATCAATATTGAGACCTCTTATTGTTACAGTTGTGTTTCCAGATAGGATTCCTTTCTTTGGTAAAAATTCTAAGATCTTAGGTACCTGGAAAGAAATTTCCAAAACGAGTCATTGTCAATAAATTACACATAACATTTTTAAAATTTAATTGGTTATTCTTTTATTTTTATTTCCTGTCAGATTTATAGTAATTAACTATTGAAGAATAAACAATTGCATTACACAAAAAAATTGAAAATATTCGTCTGAAAGAAAAAAAAAAAACATTGAAAGGGTAATCTTTAGGCAGCTAAAAGGTAAATAAAAAGTTCCTTAATTTTAAAACGAGTCATACATTCTGCCTATGGCTTTAATTTTGTATTAAATGGCCTCATAAAAAACTCAGTTTTTTTCAACTCTTAAAGGTTTGTATTAGCTTTCGGACTTCCAAATATATCGGTCTTAATCATCACTTGTCAAAAATTATTTTGACACAAAACAAATTGAAACAGTACTTATCGAAATACACATTTACTGCAGTTAAGTGGGTATCGTTAATGTCATTTTAGTACTACTAGTAATTCATTTAAACATGAGTTTTCTATTCTTTGGCAAATAGGAGAATTATAACTTAGAAAACCTTATTTCTGAACAATAATGGTTTTTAACAAATAAAGCATTTACAGTAAATATATTTAAAGTTGACATCATACTCAAACATTGTTTTAAATACCTTGAAGGTGAAGTATTTGGTATTTGAATCGCTGAAGTAATTTGCATTTACCCAAACGAATAAACCAATCGTCTGGAGTGCGGTGTATTTTCCAGTAACACAAGTCAAACTGTTCAAAAAATATAAAGAAGCTATGTAACTGAATGTTTACTTATAAGAAAAGTAGAATACGATAAATTTATAAGACCAGGGTGCATTAACGATTTAGTTTTAGAGTTAGGTTTATAACAAATTTTAGTTTTACCCAATGAATCATATTTCTTTCAGTGTAATAAACATGATAAACGATAATTTTTATCTTTATTTTTCATACAATGAATCTTTTACTGTCGTTTTATTATCGACTGATCTGTTATTCCCGAATGTAATATTTTGACATAGTGCTGGTTCATTTGTTGGGTGATGCATGCATTTCAGCTAGGACACGCTTACCCTGTAGAAACTCCTGGTCCCGTGCCTTCGAGAATCGAAATATCATTTCAATATTCCAGTTTTTAAAAATGTAGAAATTAAAAAAAAAATAAAAAAAAATATCTTAATATTGTTGTCTTAATCATAGCTTATGCCCCATGAATCGATGTATGAGATATGAACATCAGTGAATTTCTGTTTCCTAATTTATGCAGCTTATAGTTGTTGATCAAAAAATGTGTTTCCGCTTTCATATTAAGTATGTTACATGGTTTATTAAACTAAAATAGATTTGTATCTTTACTCAGTATAGGGTGTTTGGACTGTTACGTTGTGACATCTTACTCCACTGATATCAACAAATATACTATCATTTACATTTCCAAGATAATTTCCTGTTAATGTCAACAATGTACCACCATTAACTGGTCCACTTGCTGGATATACCTATATGACAAAAAATAAAAGATTTTAAAAAGCAATCATTATTTATACTTTGTAAAACAGATTTTTCAAATTATTATGTAAAAATAATACCACAATAAAAAAATGACCAATCTTATTAAAGTCGCATACTGGTTCAGAACGCCTTTTTTATATAAAATTTAATTTACATCTTTATTGTGTTAAGAAATAAACATAGTGTATATACTGAATTATTTCAGGTAATATTGTCGCGGTCCAAATCGTAACGCACTTACAATGACTTTAAGAGTAGAATACTGAAATTAAATAGTAAACCCGCCGGAGTTTAAATGTGTTACCGTATTTTGTTATTAATGAAGACCAAAAACAGGAGTTTTTAATATCTAAAACAGAAATCAGCATTTAGAAAAAAAACCTAAAGTCAATATGTGAACAAAAATTGGCCTTTTAACAATTATTTGTGTTTTGAAATTTTGCAGCGCTCATAGATACTACAATGAATGGTGAAAATGTTGACAATGCTCCACCCATTGTCGTCAGATTGACAATCTTAAACATAGAAACATTGTATTTTTTATTTTTGTATTTTTTTTTTTGCTTCTCATTGTATAACTGGTGTTCAAAGAAAAAGTTCAGTTTTTTGCATAAACTATGCATGCGAAGGGTCTTGCGTGATATTCGGAAATTAGATGTACATCTAACTATTTATGAAACTGATATGTGAAGTAAATAACCCTTCAACAAAACCATTCCAAAAGCATATCAATATTCACTATCATATATATTTAATACAAAATACCTGATCAATTTCAGGCGAACAGTTAGTGGTTAAATTATCCGAGTTAGTCTCGTAACATGATGGACCTGAAACACACAAAATTCACTAACATATTTTATAACTTATTATCTCCAATGCCTTCCTTGTAGCAAAGAGTAATGGGTATATGTTGCATGAATGAAAAGGAATAAGTATATAATACATAAAAGTTTTCATTTCACTCAGCATGCTCAGGTTACGTAAATTGTGTTTTCTCTGTTTTGTTCTTATTTGTAAATAACCATCTTTTTCTCATATCTTATCATCCATTGCACTACGATTAACTGGACTTAAAGTTTGACCTAGAGACAGCTTAATTTGCACTTTTGATCGTTGTGTTTTCTCCTACTCCTCGATTTCTTGGTTTTAAGTTAGTTTTAGTTGTTTTAATTTATTCATTAAACCTTGTGCAAAGTGCTTTGACGATGTGTATAAAAAAAGACTTTCTTTCACGAGTGTAGTAGAAAATAATAATCACTAAATAGATAGGTATTAATACATTTGAAAATGATGATACGTTTTTATACCTAAATCACATTTATCACCTATCCATTTATTTACACATCCAAATAAACAATTTCCGGTTTCAATGTCACAAGGTCCACTACAGTACGCAGGACACAATTTGCTACAAAAAGGACCAAAGTGTGTAGGTGGACAACCTAAAATACAAAAAAAAAACCAGTTAAATATAAGATAAATACATGTTCCTATCTTGATGATTTTATTCATTTCTATCCTTTAAAAATTTGTTTGAATGCATGGTTTTATAAAAATAAGGAGAAGTGGTACGATTGTCAACCAGACTACGATTTAAAAAGTTCAAAGGAAGTGGATGAATGCAATTATAGACAACCGTACGGCCTTCAACAATGAGAAAACCCATTACCGTATAATTGACTATAAAAGTTCCAGAATGATAAATGTGACACAATTCAAACGAGGAAACCGACGCCTTTATTTATAACATAACAATTTACGAAAAGCAAATTTGATAGTCATAAACTAACGACATCTATTGAACTACAGTTTCATGACTTAAGACAGGCAAATGAAGAATATGTTGGGGTTTAAAGAGAAGCGAAAGATACCAGAGGGTTATTCAAACTCATATGTCGAAAATAAACAGACAACGCCATGGCTAAAAAAGAAAAAGACCAATAGACAAACAATAGTACACAAAACACAACACAGTAAACCAAAGACTGAGCAACACGAACCCCACCAAAAACTGGGGGTGATCTCAGGTGCTCCGGAAGGATAAGCTGATCCTGCTCCACATGTGACACCCGTCATGTTGCTCAGGGTATTACAAACCCGGTAATAAGTCTAATTCGGTAGGTCACATTCGGGAAAAAGGTACAGGATTGTAATTACGACATTAGGAACATACCCGTTATCATCTGTGAAACGGATATTCTATAACTGTCAACCAACTCGTGATGGCGTCAGTAAAACGTACTAAGGGATGACTTCAACTTCACCACTTGGAACTCTTTGTTTAATAGCTTCCTTGTGAGCAGCAATCCTCTATCAAGGAAATCATGATAGGAAATACAAGCCCTGGAATATCGTTTCAACTGGGAGATATATACTCCGTATGCAGGCGCCGCTGGCATGTTGCTACATAGAAATGGAAAATTAACAATTTGGAAGCCGAAATCATCCCTTTTGTCGTAAAATTTTGTTTTGACCCTCATTGTCAATTGCTAGATGTAAGTCAAGATATGAGGCAGACTTAACTGGATCTGTAGTATCCGTGATCTCAAGTTCGATGGGATAGATTCGTTTAACCTAGTCACCAAATGTTGAATTATTTAGTGAGAGAAAAGCATCTATATAGCGGAAAGTAAAGGTAAAGGATACTGTTAACTTCTTTTCTTTCTTCCTAAGAAGTTCCTGTATGAAGTCAGCCTAATATTAATAAAGGAACAAGTTGGGAAGAAGAGGGGCACAGTTTGTCCTCATGCGAATGCCGATTGTTTGTTGAAAAACACGTCCTCCAAATGTAACAAATATGTTTTCAATCACGAAATCAAGCATCTTGATAATGTCAGTTTCAGAAAATTTGTTGTTAGAATCAGAGTGATTTTTCACAAAGTAGGATTTTATCCTCCCTAAGACAAGATACCTGTATCTACGTTGGCCATTCATTTTTATGAAACAAAGCAGGACCAACTCTTTCAATTAGTCTTTTAATTTGGGATGGGGAATACTTGTGTAAAATGTAGAAAAGTCAAATGTTTTAATACTATTGCAAGATGAAAGAAACTTAGATTTTATGTACTCTAAAAGATCTTTTGAATTTTTGAACATGTTTGTTAATTGTCAAAAACTTGACACTTTTTCAGATCAAATTTCATCATTGATACGAGCTTACTTATAATTCAGTATGCGAGACGAGCGTGTATCGTCTACACAAGACTGATAGACAGTATGTGCAGAAATTCGCTACGGCCGTCTATGTGTTAGGGCAGACGATAGTATGTCATGCGGATAATCGGTAACATTCAAATAATCAGGATAGCAAGTTTACATATATTGATGTTGTATGTTTTGACTGTATGGTCATATAAAAGGATATCAAGGAAAAACGAATAATGAACATCTTTAAATACATTTATCACGACAATAACGTACAACAGAAGTGCTATGAATATGGTTGTTCATAACGATAAGCGGTGGGTCCTTTGAGAAGTCCGAGCTTTATCGCCTATATAACTACAGTTAAAGTGATTATCAAAATTACACTGGTAAGCAGAAGAAATTAAAAAGAAATAAAAGAACAAGAATCAAAAATATTCATTATGACAACTTTTCATTTTTCATAGATGTTTAATTTGTCAATGCACAATTTCTTCCCAATGCATAATCATTTCCAGCGTTTTTTTTGTTTGTTGTATTTTAACACTCACCAACAATCCCAATTTCACATACTTCAAGCTTAAAAATTTGGTTTTGAATTGGAGGTTCATATATCAGGTATCTGAAAACGGCACTGACATTGATCACAGTTGGTAAGGATTCACCTCTGAACAAAACAGTTCCATTTTCCCATAAACCACTATAGTTAGAAGCGTAAAGGGTATGGTTTCCTTCCTTTGTAATGTTTACTAAACGATAAAAGTTCAATATCAAAAACTCGGCTAGCATAATTATACAGACTCTTTTAAAATGCCAAGCCAGTTAGCACTAAGCTGCTCAAGGAATGTGAAATTTTCTAATTCTCATGAACACTATGCTAAAACATAGAAATACAATCAACAACCATAATTTTTGATTTCAATAGTTTTCATAACAACGACGCACATTTAACATGTATTGCTGTTAATGAATGTGAAAACATTATAAAAATTGTTGCATATTATAATCACAAAACGACTAATAACTGAAGATTACACTTTAATGATTCTGATAACTCATTAGTCATATGCATTAAAAAAAAGTTATGTCAAACATTCCTTTTTACACCACGTATCAACTAAAAGTACGGACATCTAATATCGGATGTGGAACATCAGTGCTCATCGTAAAAGTTTGACTTGTAATTTTTTTTTTTGGCGAATGGAAATATGTGGATTGACTTATGGCTGTCTGATACATTTATTAATTATCAAGATAGTGTTATTAACAAAGGTCGTAAATTAAGAAACGTAAACTTATTGTTTGTTTGATATAATTATACTGGAATGTAGTTATCTTTGAATACTGCCTTGTTCTGTGTTAATAATGATTCTTTTTAAAGGTTTACCGCATAAATTGAATGATACATTGCTTTCCACGTATTAAAGACGCACGACCATGCGACATCATGCGTAAAATATTTTTTTATTCTTTTGGTATGTTACAGACAGGTATTTTGTTTGTAAATGGCGATTAAGTCAAATTGAATTATCTTCCCGAGTCATATAGTAAGTCTAGACGTCTCTAGTATATATCATATACAGTATACAGATTGATATTTAACCATTGGAAAATATTGATATTTAATTCATTGGTTGTAATTGGCTTTGACTGCAGCTACTCTTAGAACGGTTAATTTTGCCCATTGTCCTTTAAGTAGTTTTTTTTTTATGCTAAGCACCGATCTGAAATATTTTAAGTTTTACTTAACTGATATTACATGTTGTGTATAATGGTGTGCTGCTACCTCACTTTCTCATATTAAAAAGCAGTGTTGTGCTTTACCAAAGATGTATAGCCCGCGTCAGGCTTTATGTGCGTGTCTTATGTCAGGAACCTTTAGCTTTGTACATACATTTGTTGTTGCTGTTGGCTGCCTACCAATGTCTTGTTTATCTTCGTTTAATTTAATTATCTAAATCATGCCATAAAATAGGAGGATGTGGTATGATTGCAAATGAGACACTTTTCAACCAGAGACCAAATAATGTAGAAGTTAGAAATTATAGATTATCGGACGACCTCCAACAACGAACAAAAACTATTACCGCATAGCAAGATATAAAAGGCCCCGAAATGACAAATGTAAAACAAATCAAACGAGAAAAGTAATGGTATGATTTATGTACAAAACAATAAAAGAAAAATAAATGTATTAAGATTTCTCTTTTGAATTGTTCAACTTTTTGTTTTCAGAATTTTGTCTTACCAAATATACGAGATAGGATTATTGCAGAAACATTTCACATCTCCTAACGCATATACTTAATAATTATTTATAAAAAGAACAAACAAAAGAAAATAAAAAAAAAAAAAAAAAAAAACCAAGACAAAAAAAACAAAAAACAAAATCAAAAAACAAAAAAATGTACACGCTTCAAAACACAGAGAAGGAGGAATAATAGTAAGATTGAAATACTTGATTCGTTAAGTATGTATCTGTATACGAAGAGAAGAAAGATATTTCCCTTCTTCAGATTCATCTTCAGAAACATAAAGGCAGTCATCAAATGTAGCTGATACAACGTCACAAATAGTAATATTTGGCTATAACCAACCATTGATTTACAGAAATGTTATAAAACAAATTCTCTAATTTCACACTCTTTTAAGCTCATTGTTTGATTGAAAATGCCGCAACTCAATTCACTACTGTTACATTGATAAACGGTAAAAATGCAATTAAATTCAATACATTACTACACGGAAGCAATGCTGTGTTGTGAAGTGAATTTGAATAGCTGAAGATCGCAAGTAAAAATACATACAAAACCGCTGATTACCCAAGACAGATTTACCTTCTGCTATCTATAACAAGCAGTCAATATATAATATTTTGCCAATAAGGTTAACTAGACCAGCAACTGAATCGACAAAACATACGAATTAGTTTATCGATACCATGCCTTTGTGTCTACACTCCCATGTTCTAGCGGGTTTCGATTTTTTAGATTCTAGAATAGTCGTCTAATCTGTAAATTTACCGATTATGTCATATTTCTTATTGCCGTATTGGGGCATTTTGTAAGTGATTTCGCATGGAAGCCGACGCATGCATAACAGGAGACGCTTACCATTTAAGCACGCCTGGTTCCGATTCCATCAGCTTTTGTCCTTATTTTGATTTGTATTAATCGGTTATTTTCCATTTCCTCTGATTTATCTTATTTATTAGTTATTTGTTTATATCATTAGTTCTCTAAAGTAGCAAAGGAAACACATAGTTTGCTTATTATATACTTGATAATTCATACAAGAGAGAAAAAATCATCCGACTTGCATCTTTTTTGTAATTACAAAGTATATTTAATTGATTTAATAATATTGCATATTTCGACGTCTTATATCATCAAGGTGGGAATTTATCAAAAAACAAACGAAGTGGAAACAAAATTAAATTTCGAAAACCAGTACAATACTTTACTTATAAAAATAAAATGTAACAACATCAGACTCAGCAGCAATGAGTTGTATTTCATGTTTGGGGTTTTAAAGCAAGGAAAATAAAGGAATTACTTTTATAAAATTTTTAGAAGATACTTCAAAAGCAAATGATATCTTAATATATTCGACAGCAGCAAAAGGTTAAACAATACCTTATTTACCATTAAATGCATTGTAAAATAAGTCAAGTCAACATGATATACATTCTCACAGTGAACTTGAGACGATCAGAAAAATATAATGAATGAATAGTATTGATCAATGTAAAAGCTAAAGAAAGCATAAACAATAATCGATAGCTATTTTATAAATACAATGTACATAATCTACAAAACATCTTGACATTTGATATCTATTAAGTTTGTGAAACTGCTTAGTTTTATAAGGTATATGATGATAAAAAGTGTAAATGTTTTTACCCTGTTTGCATATGATAATATATGAGGAATCATGATAACATACCAATAAGAGTTAGATATATTTCCGTCACAACGCTTATTTCCTTAAGGTCAACCTGTACCCACATCTCAGATCCATGTGATGGGACACACGATGTTTTATTTCCGTCATTTGCTAGAATAGCTTGTTCATTTCTAGTTGAATTAAACAAAATTGAACTGTCAAATGCAAGGTTATCTGTAATAAAATCAATGTTAAACGCTTTATAACTTTGCTTAGCACTAATGTGTCAATGTAGTATTCATAATGAATGCGTGAAATGATATGTTGCGGTTTGGCATAATTATTAATACATACGGAAACTATATTTAGTCATCGTAGAAAATTTTGAGGTAGGCGACTGTAGCCAATATATTTCATGTATTTATATATATTGACATAAACTTTTTAGGGTAAAATGTGATGGCATTGAACAAGTCATCAATGATACCACTCTTATTATTTGGTACGCAATACGCGCAACATCCGAAGCTGAATAACGTTAAATAATGTCAATTTTTGCTATTGTAATCTCTCTGGCGGAAGACAAACATATTTTTGAATAAAGCGTATCAATGATATTTCATGTCAACACAGGATCGGAGGACTGAATAATTAGCGGTTGATACCCTGTTGATAAATTGCACGTCTTCCAGCAGCGACATCGACCCAGTGGCTTAAAAAGACCACTCAAAGATACCACATGTATGATTGGGACAGTAATTACTATTTTATTTTTTAAAATTTGATTTATTTATTAGTTGTAACTGTACCAATCTTATAAGTCAAGCCCTTTCCAACTGGTTACCTAATTTGTTCTCATTTTGTGCTGTTAGACCTCAATCACTATGGGGAATATATGAGCTATTGCAACCATTTTGAACCCTACTTCATTCTGTTTGTGGCTGTTCAAAGTAAAAAAGGAGCCTGTTATACAGTGGTTGTCTTGATTACAGTCTGTCACATTTGTTTTTTCTATATATTAGTTTAATCGTTTGAAATGATTTTGTTATTATGAAATTTGCGCTGACAATATAGTTGCTTTTATCAACGTCACCCAAGCCATGCGGTTTCTGGTAGATAGGTGTCTCTTTGATATTCATACCAAATCTCCTTATATTGAAGAGGGGCGAAAGATACCAAAGGGACAGTCAAACTCATACATTGAAAATAAACTGACAACGCCATGGCTAAAAAATAAAAAGACAAACAGACAAATAATAGTACACAAGACACAACATAGAAAACTAAAGACTAAGCAACACGAACCCCACCAAAAACTGGGGGTGATCCCAGGTGCTCCGGAAGGGTAATCAGATCTTGCTCCACATGTGGCACCCGTCGTGTTGCTAATGTTATTACAAATCCGGTAAATAGTCTAATTCGGTAGGTCACATTCGTGAAAAAGGACGGCGATTGAAGTTACGACATACGGAACATATCCGAATATAGGACCAGAAAATTTCAATGATACAAAGGACACCAACTCCTGTTCGTAACCTGGGCCATATTTACGAAAAAAATCAAAGGTCTCCGCACATTGTTGTCAATATAATGGATTTCTATGCGACTGTCATACAATTGAGAGGTTTAGCTACCTATAAATATAAATAAGAAGATGTGATATGATCTAATGAGACAACTCCTCATCCAAGTCATAATAAATAAAAAGTTTACATTTTAAGGTCAAAGTACGGCCTTCAACACGGAGCCTTGGCTCACACCGAACAGCAAGCTTTAAAGGGCCCAAAAAATGACTAGTGTAAAACAAATCAAACAGGAAAACCAACGGTCTAATCTATAATTTTTTTATATAAAAAACGAGAAACGAGAAACACATACGAACCACACCAACAAACGACAACCACTGAATAACAGGCTACCGACTTAGGAACGGTGCATAAAAAAGCAGCGGGTTTAAACTAGTTAGATGGCGCTAGTTATAAAACCAGGTTTAATCGGCGGGTAATTTATGACAGTATTTGTTATATGTTTTGACCGGATTTAATTTGTTAAACATTTCCACCTCGTATAACCCTGCTACAAATGAATCTGGACGTTGGTGCATTCGATGCGATAATCAGAACGACATTTGCGATGACAATAATTTCGAATGCCTTTCTAGAACTTATGTGAGTATATATCAATGGGTATGTGAACATGGTAGTATATCTTAGCAATTTGTTGCAAGTTTCAGATTTTGTATACAACTACTATATGCAAAACATGCATGGTATGATTGTCTAAGTTTTTTGAGGCGAATAAGGTTCAATATCTTTACTTACATGAACTTTTGCGTAGCAATATTTCATGTACTTTTAGCAATAATTAATAACTACACGTAAAATTGCAAGGCGCCTTCAAATGTCCCTACAACTCAGACACGATATCATATTGAATAAGTTCATCTTATACTGTATCGTTCGTTCCACCAAAATGTCCAAGTTCGTTGTTCTCTTACAAATATTCACTGTACAATTCGTGGTCAAAAACTGATAAAAATCATGTTCTTTTTAAGGTATTTGTGATGACAACAGTAAATCTTTTTCTGTGTTTTATTGGAAATTTTTATCTACAAGCTTTGTCGCCATAGTAAACCATGTCCATGACCTTGAAATAATTAGTCATCCAAAGCAATAATTAAAATGATTTATCCAGCGTACAACTGACGGCATTTATAAGTATTGAAGACTAAGAACTTTCACTGTATTCTAGATTTAATAAAGTTAAAAGAAAAATAAGTAGCAGACAATAAAACTTCCACATCTCTTACTTTTCACGATTTTGGACAGTTTTCAAATGCAGATGTGGATCCAAGCATTGTGGAGATCGTTTAACTGTGTTTGTCGAATTCGAATGCGCTAGATGACGAGTCAAGTCCATTCAAACTGCTTTTTATAGTTTATTCTCATATTGTGATTTTCATCACAGTCTTAGGTTAATTAGATGATAGACTTGCAAACATGATTAACCCTGTCGCATTATGTACTGAAATCGTAGAATTTTGTTAACGGGGGGGGGGGGGGGGGGGGGGGGGGGGGAGGGGGGGATGGTTTCACCAAAACGAACTATCAGAACGTTTCATCTGTATCAATTTGATAATAAAGGTCATGCAGGTAACAGGATAATGTAACCCAAGGTTTACAAAATTGGTTTAAATTGACTATTTATCCACTCTCAATAGTTAAAATTAAAAAAAAAAATTAAATGCTAGATAAATAAAATTGAGAATGGAAATGGGGAATGTGTCAAAGAGACAACAACCCGACCAAAGAGCAGAAAACAGCCCAAGGCCACCAATGGGTCTTCAACACAGAGAGAAAATCCCGCACCCTGAGGCGGGCTTATGCTGGCCACTAAACAAAAATGTGTACTAGTTCAGAGAAAATAAACTTCGAAACATATAAATAAAAAAAAAAAACAAAAAAAACATACAAGACTAACAAAGGCCAGAGGCTCCTGAATTGGGACAGGCGCAAAAATGCGGCGGGGTTAAACATGTTTTGTGAGATCTCAACCCTCCCCCATACATACCTAGTCAATGTAGAATAAACAAGCACACAGCAATACGCACAGTTAAACTCAGTTCAAAAGAAGTCCGAGTCCGATGTCAGAATAGGTAACAGAAGAAACTAAGCAAAATGACAATGATACATAAATAAACAAAGGAGTACTAGCAGTTACTGACATGCCAGTGTCAGCTTAAAAAATGTCCAGAAGCTTCATGTTTTAACGCCAATATTATCAACTGCATGGCAACATTTATCGTGTTGACAATTTTAAAAATTGCAAATGTAAGAAAACTCTAAATTTTCTTAATGCTTTCAGTTGTTGACCTTTGTATTGTTGATTTTGTACTTCGCCAGAAATATAACCGCACGGTTTCTTCGAATGGTAGTTTACTCAGACTCATAAAAATTAGGAATCGGCATAAGTTTTTTCGATGATAACGCGTGCGTCTGCATGGGTTCTTGATATCCAGCTCAGAGAGAAAAAGGGCCACCCCAATGGTAGGTTCATTAAGAGTCATTACTACTTCGGATTGGTGCTCATTTATGCTTTTTCACGAAGAAAAGTTAAAGGCGAAACATATAAGAAGTCAAAATTTGAATAAAATTATCTAGACAGGTTTTTTGTAAGATGCTAATGAAAATCACATTGAATGATAAATCATTTGAATTTTGGCATAACAGTAGCAAAACTATAATGTTCGAGGAAATTAGACAAAAACGTCTACACCTATAAAGATGAATTAAGTTAATAAAAGAAAGAAAAACTGTTGGTATTGGGAATTGTCTCTCCATTTTCATATCTCCACATCAAAAGAACCAAATTAGTAATTAACGATAGTAAATAGTGATATGTTCATTGTATAAACATGTCCCTTAGCTTTTAGGTGCTTAAAATATATTGTATTGGAAATAACCTAACAAGTTTGTTATTAGCGATAGACTAATTGGATCATTTATCATTATTATAATTATACCTAATATGATGCACCATTTTTGTCAACCTCAGTGGGAATTACGTGCACCCCGTAAAAAATGCATTTTTATGGTTTCTAGATAACACATAAACCTACAATCTGTATTAGCTTGTTAAGTTTAAACAATAACATTTTCAAAAAATATGAGGCACAGGAAACTTTGAATTTATAATTATCAAACATAGTATGCATGCTTTTATCCGTGGCAAGGTCGTGCATTTTTTAATATTTGCTTATAAAAATGTTACATATTTAAAAAACAAAAACAAAAAAAAGTAATGAGTAATACAGCAAAGAATATCCGAAGAATACAAATTGTACTTTCCTAAACAGTGTAAATTCTCCTGTCTCAACTTAGTGTTACACGGTCTGTTCGATTCGAACATGTCAACGTCCGGATTCATTTGAATCAGGGTTATACGGGATAATTACCCAGCAGTAATGATTTCGAATGCACAGTCTAGCAAAAAACTCCGTTCAAACTAGTACTTCGGGGTCGTCTTAAACTTGTAGTGAAGTAAGATTTTTTTAAAGTTGAAGAACTAATATTTCCCTTAGATAAAGAACTGCAATAAATGCGCGATTCAATTTCCTTTGGGTTATTTATGCACACGAAGTGATTTTGTTTCTGTATCTTTTCTGTTTCATTTCAATAGGAAGCTCTTATGTGTTCCCATGTGAAAGAAGAAAGATAGTTTACTTTAAAAGTTTGTATTTTAAGCCATGAGTTATCGCGTACGTGTTTTTTTTTTCATAATTCAAGTGTTATTTCATTTTGAATAATATACATTTGCAAGTTTATATCTTAAAGAGAAGTATTTGTGAAATGAGTATAAAAGCTAAGAATACACTATTAGTTTAATTGCAATGACGAGACCTGCTTTTATAACAAACGGATAAAACTAATCTGCAGATTGTGTACCGATGCTAGGTTGCACAGTATAGTTTGTTATTCTTATTTTTAACTATTATGGATTATCATGGGATTAGTTTGGGAAAATGAGGGTTTGGGATGTTTTTCCTGTCTTTCCATTTAAATAAATGTCAATGCTAGCCTGAGATCCTGGCTAAATCTCTGCATGAGGATTTTTTTATTAATTGGAAAATCGACTGAATTTAAAAGAAATCAGTCCTGTACACACGAATGAAGTCCCTGAATAAATCTGCCCCCTGTTTAATTGATTGTGTATCAAATAGAAGTAGAAAATATGTAATAAAGCTTTAATCTGCAATATTTTCAAAGAACTTTCATTAAACTTTCAGCTTTCATGAAATTATGTGTTAGTATAACATATAAATAATGGAAGATGATATAAATAAATGGTCTAATTACTATCAATGAAATGGCCTTATTTCTATTCAAAATAGTTTTCTGTCATCAATGCCGGTCATGGCTTTTCAATAATTCTGTCAAACCACAAAGGGGGCGTATAATATTATAGTGGAATCGATATCTGTCTTTCGAAGAAAGAACATGAAAACTCTTTATTTTACATGTTTTAATACAATAAAAAAAATATTACAAAAGGGGAGATAACTGGATTTCAATTTCTTGTGAGCTCATTTGCAGTAAAAATAGGATTAAAAACCAACAAATATATCCAAACAACAACGCACAAAACCGTTCTTAAATGAAACAAAATTGACCAAAATCAAAGCAAACTTTATTATATATAGTTACGATACTGTTGTCAGGTCATTAAAGATTGCATATTTTAGCGTTAATATTGATTCACTTATAGGGTCTTTGCATCGGCACTAAACACATTTATTTAAAAACCAGTTGTTGGCATGACACGGGTTATGTTCTTCTCATATATGTTATGATGGCATGATACTAAACCCCTAACGGGAAGGATTGTGCCTGATAGTCATATGATGAAGACATAATCTTTCAATCAGTTTAATTGAAGTCTGGAGCTGGCATGTCAGTTAACTGCTAGTAGTCTGTTGTTATTTATGTATTATTGTCATTTTGTTTATTTTCTTTGGTTACATCTTCTGACATCGGACTCGGACTTCTCTTGAACTGAATTTTAATGTGCGTATTGTTATGCGTTTACTTTTCTACATTGGCTAGAGGTATAGGGGGAGGGTTGAGATCTCATAAACATGTTTAACCCCGCCGCATTTTTGCGCCTGTCCCAAGTCAATAGCCTCTAGCCTTTGTCAGTCTTGTATTATTTTTAATTTCAGTTTCTTGTGTACAATTTGGAGTTAAGTATGGCGTTCATTATCACTGAACTAGTATATATATTTGTTTAGGGGCCAGCTGAAGGACGCCTCCGGGTGCGGGAATTTCTCGCTGCATTGAAGACCTGTTGGTGACCTTCTGCTGTTGTCTGTTTCATGGTCGGGTTGTTGTCTCTTAGACACATTCCCCATTTCCATTCTCAATTTTATTTCAATTGTCAATTACCAAAACGAAAATTGATCATAAAATTAGAAAAAAAAAACTAGCAAAATCTAGTTCATGGCAAACGGAATAAAGGAATATAATTTGACAAAAATCCTTCATTTACGACGTTCAATATTAGTTATTATTTTATGTACTTTGCCAGTAAACAGTAGGAAATGAGAAACGAATCAAATTCACATGTCCGCGATTATACAGGTGTCTTATTATAGTAAAAAGTCAAGATTAGCTTGCAGCACATGTAGGTTTATGGCCTTTGACAATTGAAAATATTTGTATTGTCAAACGATAAAAGAGTTTGCACCGTAAATAGGTCTAGTTGAATAAATGTCTGTTAAACAAAGATGTATATGTAAATGATATCTACGTTTTAATGGAATATCTAACATGTTGCATAAAAAAGTAGAATTGTATTTGAATCTAAAATACTGTTATATCCCATAGAAAAAAATGGTTGAAAAGAGTTAAATGAAATGGTGTAAATGAACAAAATGCTAGAAGAAATGATTATGCTTTAAATGTACATTATTTATTACAAATTTATTCAATATCTGTTCTATAACATTGTATAAGTCGTCTGTAGAAATGATATGTTTTGTTTTGAAAGAAAAATAAATTGGATGAAATGAGTCAAATAAAAGTATAAATGACCAAACAGCTCGAAGAAATTATAATGCTTTATATATACATTTTGTATTCATAATTTATTCAATATCACCGTATCATGTATACTGACATAAGCAACACGACGGGTGCCACATTAGGGGCTTTGAAAAAATGCAAATCACGTCATGAGATCTTGCCAAACAACACATGCATAAATATTTGATTATTTAAGGAGCTATATATACAAATATATGACAAACAAGAATGTGTCCATAATACACGGATGCCCCACTCGCACTATCATTTTTTATGTTAAGTGGACCGTAAAATTGGGGGTCAATACTCTAATTTGGTATTAAAATTAGAAAGATCATATCATAGGGAACTTGTGTATTAAGTTTCAAGTTGATTGGACTTCAACTTCATCAAAAACTACCTTGACCAAAAACTTTAACCTGAAGCGGGACAGACGGACGGCCGGGCCGAAATTCATAATGCCCCTAGGTGGGGCATAAAAAGGACATTGAATAGTTTTCAAATTATGCTTGGGGAAACTTTTCCTGATAGATTTGGAACTGTAGTTTTATAAAAAGAAATCAAATTTATCAGCGAAAAAGTTGTGAACTATACATTAAAACATTTCACTGTATCGAAGCACCGACTACTAAGCTGATAAAACCTCTTAGACTAGACATGCAGAATCGGCATTGAACCACTGCTACACATAAATCTGTGTAAGCTTGGTGAATCTGAAGATTTTTCAGGAATTTCTTTTATAACAAATGCACAAACAAAAAAAAAAAAAATCAAGTGATTCGAATACATAGATATAAACGGTATAACAAAATGTGTCCATGGCGTTTCCATACATCATACATTTCAGCATATGGGGATCATAATTATTTTAAACTTTTTGAGAAAAAAGTGAAATGGGATATGACGGTGTAAATTATTTAGTATCCAGTGTAATTATTAATAAAGGGTTTTGTCGGTCCTCAAAAAATAAGAAGGTAAAACAAAAGTCCATTATAGAACAAACACATGTGATAGGTCTAGGTAGTTACATTTTCCCATTTGTCATACTAAAACAACTACACTATTCACTTATTTTAATATAATAACATGAATAGTTTAATTAATAATGATAAAAACAAACTAATCAAAGATACCAGGCTTATGATTATGTACGCCAGATGCGCGTTTCGTCTATAGAATACTCATTAGTGACGCTCGAATCATGAAAGTTAAAATGCCAAAATGAAGTACGAAGTTGAAGAGCATTGAGGACCTAAAATTCCGAAAAGTTCTGCCAAAAACAGTTTAGGAAATCTATTACTGGGAAGAAAATCCTTAGTATACAACTCAAAGAATCTTTTGCAACACTTACTATCTGAGTACAAAATGATCACACTGGTCTAAAACTAACATCATTCCTGTTTTAAAGGAAGCTGAATTGATTAAACAAGAAGATGAAGATATAAAAAAAAAATTGGGGAGGGGGGGGGGGGGGGGGGGAGTGGAGGATTGCCCGTCTTAATTTATTTTGTTAATTTTGTTTGCGAGGTTCATTTGGAATAAATTATCAGATTTACTATTTCGTCAATATTGAGCGTTGTATGCATGATTAACAAGACAATGTGCACAAAATTGTAAAAATGGCGACTAACACTTTTACCCCTTCACTCCAAAATTGCAAACAGTGTTAGTGTCTGAAAGGAGTAAGTTCACGAAAGGGTTAACATTCGATTATCCATCACAAGGCAGGTACAAAATTAATGTATCCATAATTACTTACATTTGTTACAAAAGTTTCCTGTCCGCCTTTCTTTACAGCCTTCGGTACAAACGGCGGTATATTGATCGCAGTTACTATTCAAACAGTTTTTATCGCTACATCCTCCCAAAATGCAGGAACCATTTCCAGGGAAGCAATGCTTCTCTATACAACTTTCGGCACAAGAAATATCGCAGTTACTTCCCCAAAAATTCTTTTCACAACCTAAAACAAAAAGTCATTCTTAGCAGTAATGCAAATACAAATAATCATAATAATGTAGATTTCAACATTCTTGGATGTAGTGAAAATTACTATAAACTTTTTAAGGTACATGTATTACTAAAGACAATTCGATGTTTATTGTTTAATACGGTTCTGGTGTAGTTATATAAATTACCCTTCTGAAACCCGGCTGAAAAAAAAGTAATGAAAAGCAAATTCCCGGCAGTTCCTGCTCAAATCTGCAGGTAAATCTACATTTGTTAAAGAATAAAAGGAAAGTAATTCCGGATCGTAATTTATTAGTGTACGGAGTTTGGCTGAAGAGGGCGTTTGTTTTGCTGTGCAGTATGCACAAATATGCAGCCACGTGTTGTCAGAATGTCTTTCCGTTATTTTTCTTTTAGTCCATATAATTGTCGTCTGCCTTTCTTCGACAATATTTATTACAGATGAACATTGCAATACATAATTTGTCTTCAGGGACATTTATTTTAAATATAGTCATAAAAAGGCGTAAAATAAAGTTAACCAAACAAATTTGTAGTTTATGAACAAGACAAGTACTTTATTCATAATACAAGGTAATATAAAACCTACCATAAATGGCAACGTAGCATAAACTAACAGTTGGAGCATATGGTATAGATTCAAGTTCATATCCTGTACGGTCGTAATAAATAACATATTTTCCAAGATGATAACAAGGTATTGTCTGTCTGATGTTTGGAAGACCTGGTTTAGGATCTTCATAGCAGAGAAAACCGTTAGGTGGAATTGTTGGTGTATTGGTCACATATAACTGAAATCCATCCATCTCAAAAGCATCTGTAATAAGAATAACAAATTGTATGTCATGGCTATAGTTTTTATCTCATGTAGTACAGACATATTTGATATATTGTCCAAGATAATTACAGGGTATTGTCTGGGTGTTGTTTAGGGAAATAGTATCAGGACCTTCAAAACATAGATATATATCAGGTGGAATAGCTGATGTATTTGGCACGTATAAATTGAAGCAACTACCTGTCGTAAAAACAACTATAAAAACAGTAATCGATATATTATTCTGTGATGTTTTTTCCAAATTTATTTAGCCACTTCAGAAGCCTAGCTTTATGAGAAATTAGGTCACGTTTCCTGTAGTTAACTTATAATCGTTAATACTCTCAACAACTTATTAATTGCATGATCACGATATTGGATCTTCCTGTACTACATGTACTATTTGAAACGTTGACATATGAAGTATACACATTTTGAGATTCTGTCAGGTAACTGCGGACATTCTTTTCTACAACATTGTCACTTTCTGTACGGAATTTTCTTGTTTGCTATGTGCACCTTTTTCTATTTCACTGATCGGTGATTAGTTGATTCTAAAAATATATTTTTTAGCGCATGTGCCTGTCTTAAGTAAGGAACCTCGTTAGTGGCAATCTAAATGTTATTTAAACTGTTTCCTTGTCTTTTGGGAACCACTATTTGTATTGATGGCAGATATTTAATAGTCTTTGTTTATTATATCCATAATTGTTAAGATTCGGAGCTATTGAGAACTTGGCATAAAATATATATACCTGTTTATTGGTCCGTTTGTACTTGCGTCCATTCGTTTTTCGTTTTGTAAAATCAAAATCAATAAACAAAAAACAAAAATGTTTTTGTTTTTCATTTCTGGTTTCTCACAAACCAAAACGAAAAACAACATTTGAACAAAAGCGTTTTCATTTTTTTTTTTTTGATATTACAAAACAAAAACAAACGAAAAACAACACACTGATTCAATTTTTGAAATTATTTCTAGTTTAGATATGAACTATGCTTTCATATTTTGTTTCGTTGTCACCGAAATTGAATTTTGTCAACGTAGCTCGTTTTCATATACGTAATATCAACATGTAAACGTCAATTTGATGGAAAACAAAACAGACAATCTGACTTGTGAATTGAAATAAGGTGAAACTAAGACTTTAAAATTTCTTGTTTTTTTTCTATAATAAGTAATTTAATTATTATTAATATCTAAATTGTAATATTGAAATATTAAATGGATTACAAATTTGATTTACACAATGAAGTATACTTTCATTACTACATCACATTAACAAGGGAGGTTACTACTTAACTGACAGGAAAACTAGCAGCCCGGCCGTTAAAGTATACACACCGGTTATCAGATCAAATGTATTTAAATCAGAGATAAATTCGACGAACGTAAATTCCTTTACAGTCTTAACATTCAGGGTACATGGTCTATACTTTAAAGTTTTGAAAGGTTGGCAATCTTGAGCTATTAAGCTATCAAAATTCTTCAGGTTTAGACTATTTGCATGCTCTAAAGGAGTTTATAATTTTGTGATCTGTTTAAAAATGACCTATTATATTTTTAGAACCGTAGAGAACATACTTTGGGCTGTGATACATATACTAAAAGTTTAGTTAAAGATTGAGACATTTTAAAAATTACCCAGGTGTGAAAAAAATTTCAGGGGGAAAAAGGCCCTTAGGCTACCACATTAAACTTATTTACAATTATTTAATGCATCCTTGATTTTACGATAACATTAGAAACGTGTGAAGAACAACGGAACAAAATGTATATGCGGAATTGTATATGGACCTCGTCTTTGGTGCTAAATAACGCATATGTCAACTAAGTCCAAGTAATTATGACGTCTTGAAAGGCTATTTTATTTTTTTGTTCTGTAATGCCTTCCTATGACCTTATAACGCTGAAGCAATTTTGTTCGGCTGTGCCTTTTTTATGTGATGATTTAGGTTGTTTTACGTATTTGTTTTTATTCTGTAGTTAGTCACCACATCGGTATTAACATGTATATCTATTATATAGTCATTTTTATAAATTTACTGTTTGCAAAAGTATGAATTATTCTAAATACTAAGGATTTTCTTATCCCAGGCATATAACCATAGCCGTATTTGGCACAACTTTTTGGAACTTTTGTTCCTCAATGCTCTTCAACTTTGAACTTGTTTTGGCTTTCGAACTTTTTTGATCTGAGCGTCACTGATGGGTCTTGTGTAGATGAAGCGCGCGTCTGGCGTATTAAATTATTAGCCTGGTACCTTTTGATAGCTATTATTTGTGTGTGTCTCTGTCCTGTATGTTCTCCCATTTATTTGTATTGTAGTCCTGTCATGTAATCTTGTCATTTTAATGTTATATTTAACATTGCCATAAAAGCGGGAGGTTTGGCTAGCCACAAAACCAGGTTCAACCCATTATTTTTTCTTAAAATGTCCTGTACCAAGTCAGGAAAATGACCATTGTTATATTATAGTTCGTTTCTGTGTGTGTTGCATTTTAGTGTTGAGTTTCTGTTGTGTCGTTGTTCTCCTCCTATATTTGATGTGTTTCCCTCAGTTTTAGTTTGGAACCCGGATTTGTTTTTTTCTCAATCGAATTATGAATTTCGAATAGCGGTATACTACTGTTGCCTTTATTTTTTCCGTCTGCACCTTGAGAAGGAATTTTGAGCGGAACTTTGAAACCCAATTATGCAATCTTCATTGACGGCTAGACATTTTTGCATATATACAAAGTTTTAATTTTTGTGTGCTTGTTGGTGCAAAATATTTCCACAAATATCCAAAAGTAATGGTAAAATAAGTTACGATTTCATTTGAGGTATGTAATGTTCTACTTCGCAGTTAAAATGTTTTCCCTGATTTCCAAAAATCCTACACTTCCGGAAGGTATAAAATATCAAACTCCATAAAAACCCGAATATCTGAAACGTTCGATCTATATTATCCGGAAATTCGGGTCTGCCAAATTTTACTGAGTTTCTTTCTGCATACTGTGCACCAGACTTATACACACCCGCCATTGACTTCATAAAATAAAGCATTTAATATACACTTCTTAACAGTGAAGGAGAAAAGTACTCAGGGAATGCTATAACTATAGCTTTAAAGAAGGCTATTTGTACATTTAACAAAGATCAGGCATTGTTACATGCATTTCAAAAGAAGAGAAATCTTAGTTTTATTTCAAAAACTGGCGACCTATCACCCTTCTAAATGTTGATATAAAAATATGTTCCTCATCTATTGCAAACAGAATAAAACCTTTGCTCAAACATATTATAAATGAAACACAGTTAGGATTTATTAAAGGTAGATACATTGGGGAATTAACAAGACTTATTTTTGACTTAATTGAAAAAACCGAAGAAGAAAATATAATTGGACTTTTACTAAGATTTTAAAAAAGCATTTTATACTCTTGAATTGTCATTTATAATCATTTTCTTAATAATTGAATTCTTAGGCTTTGTTTCCGATTTCTATGATTAGGTCAAATCTTTATATTTCAATACCGAAATTTGTATTATAAATAATGGTCATTGTTCTAGTTTCTTTTATATAGAAAAAAGTGTCCGTCGAGGGGATCCTTTATCCCCTAACCTTTTTATATTGCCTTAAAAACTGATAAGTGCAGCAATGACAAACAACCCAGACATTAATGGTATTAAGATAGACAACTCTGAGTATTTGCTTAGTCAGTATGCTGATGACTCAACCTTAGCTTTAGATGATGAAAAGTCATTAAAACAGTCCCTATATATTTTAGAAAAGTTTTCCGAGCAAACTTAGACAAAACAGAAGTAAAATAGACTGGCTCAAAAGTTCATCCAAAAGAAATATTTCACCAAGACAAAAGTTTAAAATGGAATGAAACAGGAAAATTTTAACTTTTAGGTATAAACTATGATCTTTTTGCTGTCAACAAGACTGCATATACATATGAAGAGACAATTAAAAAGATCAAGACATTATTAAATACTTGGATGTACCAAGATCTTTCGTACCTTAGAAAAATAACAGTCAAAAGTCTTTAGCATTGCCAATTCTCATTCAGTCATTAACAATGTTGACAAATCCCTCTTTTGAAAATTTTAAGAAAATTGAAAATATTTTTTTAAAGTTTCTATGGATTGGTAAACCAGATAAAATCAAATGAAATGTTTTAATTGGATTATATGAAACGGGTGAACTAAAAATGCCTCAAATTGAATCCTTCTGTTATGTAATGCACTGAAAATGACATGGATCCATAAATTATTAGACCCTTTTAACCTTTCTCCTTGGAAAATTCTTTTCAATGGTAAAAATATAAAAAATGGGGCAGATAAGATGTTTGTGATGAATAAGGATAGTATTACACAAATTTCAGTATATTTTATTAGTTTTTGGAAGGACATCCTTCTAAATTGGGCTAAACTGAGAAATGCACTCCGTGACCAAAATGACTTCATAAGCTAGCCAATTTGGTTTGATACACCTTTGAAAATTTAAAATAGAACTATTGTTTATGAAAAATGTTGTGAGGCAGGAATATGTTTTGTCAATGATTTACTGAATGAGGACAAAGATTTTCTCTCTTTTAATCAATTTAAAGAAACATTTGATATTGACACAAATTTTCTTCAATTCTATGGTATATATCATATGATCCTAAATAGTTGAAAGGACCACATCAAAAACTGTGAAAAAACAACATTAATTTAATTTGATAATTCAAAGTATTTGAAAACAAATCAGAAATCATTTCCGTATCTTAATAAATTATTTTTGTCTATTTATCATGAAAACCCGATAAAATCACAAAATAAATGGAAAGAAATTTTGCATATGGAAACAGATCACTGGGATATATGCATCCTTTTAAGTGTACTTTAGGTAATACACTGATAATATTCCAATACAAAATTCTGCACAGAATTTCAAACACAAATGACCTGCTATACAAGTGTAAACTTGAAGAAACACATATATGTAGTTTTTGCAATGAAACG